AGCCCCTCCACCAGCCGTTGCTACTGCAGACGCTACTGCTTCGCTCTCTTTCATGCTCGACTCTAGCGCGTCTGCCTGTTTCTTCAGTAACCACACTTCGCTCACGTCGCTTGCCGCCCCTGCCGCTGTAGCGCTTGCTGACCCCTCCTCAGGTCTAGTAGTCGTACGTAACTCCACTACCCTTCCCTATCCGGCGGTCCCCTCGAGCTCTCTTACAGGCTTGCACATCCCCTCACTCTCCAGGAACCTAGATGATGTCGGCTGTCTTCAGGACCTTGGTGTCACCACGTCGTTCCCTGGATACGAGCGGTACGCCATCTGTACCGAGGCCGCCACTAGTGCCCCTCTTACCACGTTCCCTGGGAACCCCGTGTCTAGGTTCACGCTGGACACTGCGCCCCCCCCCCAGTGGGAGCGCCCCCCCAAGTCAACGCATCCACTCAGGACGCTGCAGCTTGCTCATGTCAGTCGCTCACTAACCCTTCACTTCAGTGGCACCACCGCCTAGGTCACCCTGCTCTCCCACGTCTGTGTCACATGTCCCATCACGAGCTTGTCCGTGGTCTCCTTGGGTCGCGTCCTGCCCTCCCTCCCTCGTCTGTGCCGCCGTGCACGCCCTGCGTCGAGGGCCGGCTGCGCCGAGCTCCCCACTCCTCCTCGCTCCCCCCTACCACTGCGCCACTCCATACCCTGCACCTGGACGTTTGGGGTCCTGCACCTGCCCTTGGGTCGCGTCGCGAGTGCTACTTTCTAGTGCCTGTCGACGACTATACGCGCTACACTACGGTGTTTCCCCTAAAGCGGAAGGCCGACGTGCCTAACGCCCTTATCACATGGGTCGTAGCTGCGCGAGTCCACTGCGGCCTCCCCCTGCTGCGTCTCCACTCCGACTGTGGCGACGAGTTTGCCTCCGTTCGGCTTGGCTAGTTCTATCGTGCGGAGGGCATCACCCATTCGTACACTTTGCCGGACTCCCCGCAGCAGAATGGGGTCGCTGAGCGACGAATTAGTTTAGTCATGGAGGTGGCTCGTACCTCCATGATCCATGCCGGTGCACCCCATTTTCTGTGGCCGTTCGCGGTTTGCTACGTCGCTCACCAGCTTAACATGTGGCCACACTCCCAGCAGCCACAGGTTTTGCCAACCCTTCTCTGGACCGGGTTCCCTGGTGAAGCGTCTGCGTTCCATGTTTGGGGATGCCTTGCTCACGTTCGTGCCTCTGGCACGGACAAGCTCACTGCCCGCACCGTCCCTTGTGTCTTCCCTGGTTTCCCCCTCGACGCGTCTGACTGGCACTTTTACCACCCGCCGTCTCACCGTTTCTTTCACTCCCGCGACGTCAGTTTTGACGAGTCTATCTCTTTCTACTCCTGCTTTCCCCACCGAGGTCTCCTGGTTACCTCGCCCCTGTCCTTGGTCCCCACTCCCCCAGTAGCCCTTGCTCCTCTTCCTCCCCGTCCTGCCCCGTTTGGTGTGTCTCACGTCACTCCCCTCCCGTTGTTGTCCCGGTCGAGGAGTCGGCTGGCTCCGCGGGCCCCGCGGCTTCGGTGTCACTGCCTGTCTCCGCCCCGATGTCCCCTCCTCTGCCGCCGCAGCCGCAGCAGCAGTCGTCGCAGCCGTAGCCCCCGTCGCCGCTGCCGCAGCGGCAGCCGCTCAGGGGTCCGTGAGCTCTATGGGTACGGGCGTTGAGGAGGGTGCTTGTCCTGGGGTTACTGTCGTGGCTTGTCCTGGCGGTCCTAGGGGTGGCACCGGTGCTAGAGAGGTTTCTCGTTCTGGGGATGCTAGTTCTGGGGGTGCTAGTCCTGGGGTTACTGTTGTGGCTCATCCTCGCAGTCCTGGGGGTGGCACTTGTGCTGGAGAGGGTTCTCGCTCTGGCGGTGTTGGTGTGGAGTGTCCCGGAAGTAGCCGTGGTGCAGCAGGAGGTCCTGGTGTCAGTCGCCTTCAGTATCCTCCCTTCACCTCCTCAGTCTTCCCTCCCTTGACCACCCGCCTACGCCTCCCCCGCCTGTCTACGGTCCTGTGATTCCTCCGCCGGACTCGTCTCCGGCTCGTTTTCCCCCGCGTTCTCCTTCTGTGTCTCCTCCTGTGTCTCCTGATCCGACGCCCCCGTCGCACTTCTGGTCTCGTCGTCCCTCTCGTGCTCGTCATGTCTCTCCTGTCCAGCGCTCTCACCCTATGTTGCTTCGTTCCCACGCATCTAGTCCTCCCCTCCTCCCGTCGCCTCCTCCGTTGACGTTGGCTGTCGCTCCGCCTCCCCTGTCTGACTTCATCCGTGCCGCTAGTCCTCTTGTTCCTCCGGTCCTCACCTCTCTTGTTACCGACCTGTCTGTTCCTCTCTCTATTTTTGACGCTCTTGTCACTGCCGTCACAGACTTTGCCGCTACCCGCCGCCTTGACTATGACCCTGCCCGCCCGCTGTCCGTCGGGGGTGCACCTGCCCTTGGCAGTGACGTCCTAGAGGACAGGCAGTTTGAGCTAGCTTTCCTGTCCGAGGCCGCGCCTTATCTCTACTCCATGCTGCTAGTCCCTGAGGGGGACCCGGACGCCTTTGACATCCCGACCCCTCGCACTTACGCTGAGGCGACCTCGGGACCCTGTGCCTCTCAGTGGATAGCTGCCATGGATGCGGAGATGGCATCTTGGAGACCACCGGCACCTTCGTTCACGTAGTTCCCCCACCGAGGGTGAACGTAGTCGACGGCCAGTGGCTCTTCAAGGTGAAGCGCCCTCTTGGAGAGCCGCCGGTGTTCAAGGCGCTCTACGTTGGTAGAAGCTTCAGTTAGCGCGAGCGTGTTGACTTCTTTCAGACCTTCGCCCCGACCCCGAAGATGACCACTCTTCGGGTGCTGCTACACGTAGTAGCACAGTGTGACTACGAGTTGCACTCTCTCGACTTCTCGACAGCGTTTCTTCAGGGCAGTCTGCACGGGCAGGTCTACCTACGTCGTCCGCCAGGCTTCACCGACACCTTCGCCCTTGGGACCCGGTGGCTCCTCCGGCGCCGGGTTACGGCCTGCGGCAGGCGCCCGTGAGTGGCACGTCACGCTGCGTGCTACGTTAGCTGACCTACAATTCTTCCCTTTGTCTACAGACCCCTCACTCTTCGTTCGTGCTGGCCAGACCACGTTATACATATTTGTCTACGTAGACGACCTGGTCTTTGCTACTGCATACAGAGACGCACTGGCCTCCGTTAAGGCTGAGCTGCTGAGGAGACATACCTGCATTGACCTAGGAGAGCTGCGCCACTACCTTGGCCTGGAGATCTCTTGGGACAGAGCAACGTGCACCATCACTCTCACACAGTCACACTTGGTGTGCCAGGTCCTTCAGAGGTTCGGTCTTCAGTTCTCCTCCGCACATAACACACCTTTGCTAGTAGATCACATGCTCTCGGCTCTAGTCCCTGATGAGTCTGTAGAGCCTAATGGTTCTTAAGCAGAGCTGGTGGGTTGCCTCATGTACCTGATGACTTGCACTCGTCCAGATCTCGCATACCCTTTCAGCATCCTGACTCGCTTTGTGGCCACAGGCAGACACCGACCATAGCGTTGGTCGGCCGCTAAGAGGGTTTTGCGTTATCTCGCAAGTACATCGGGCATGGGGCTAGTGCTAGGAGGACACAGGCCAGTGGTCCTTTAAAGGGCACACAGACGCTCAGGTCCTCCCAGGGCTATTGCTTTAGCCTTGGTACAGGCGCCATCTCGTGGAGGTCCACCCGCTCGTCGTCTGTTGCCCAGTCTAGCTGTGAGGCTGAGATCTACGCCGGTGCCATGGCAGCACAGGAGCTCCGCTGGCTAACTTTCTTGCTCACAGACTTAGGTGAGCGGCCTAGCTCTGCCCCTGTCCTCTACACTGACAACAGGGCCACGATCCTCCTGTGTCATGAACCTCGACTGGAGGGAAGAGCGAAGCACTTTTAACTACGGTACTTCCTTCTGCGCGAGCTACAGCAGCGCCGCCAGGCCCACGTAGTACACTTGTTCTCTGGTGCCAACGCATCTGATATCTTTACGAAGGCGCTTGCGCCTAAAGATCATCAGCGGTACTGTGTACAGCTTGGTCTAGTTCCTGTAGATTCTCACTTGCTAGGACCTTGATTATGTACTATATCTTATATTATTTTGACTGGCCTTGTGGCTCTTGTTCCAGTGGCTGGACTAGTAGTGCCGCCCTGGATTACTCTTGTTTAGTTTGTACTCTTGCTGACTGGTCCTTGGACCCTCGCCTTAGAGGTTGGACTAGTACCCTGAGCTGCGTGTCTCTTCCTAGGCACTGCCCCTCATCTATCCTAAGGGGTGTGTCAAAACATTTATGTATATGCCGTATAGGCTAGATAGGTGCGTACTCTTATAGAGTACAACCCCTTAACACAAAAGCACATTGTATCTCTCATTCTAGTCAACGTTCTAACTCTGAGACTTTCGACACCCCCCCTCGCTGGGATAGGCGGAGGACACGAGCGCCTTTGTAGCACTGGCATTGGGAGTTGAACCCGAGTCACCCACGCACTGATACCATGTCAGAATTCAGTCACTAACCACTGAGTTAAAGCCCGAGCCTAGAATGGCACGTTATCAAGTTCAGGATTCCTGAACTTGTTTTCGTACAGTAGAGGTAACCTAGATTTGGGGACCGTCAAGGTCGCAACCCTCAGGGAAATGAGGTTGTTTGCGAACCACGAACGCACTGTTCACTCATACTGAACATGAAAACGTCCGCAACCATTGTGAACGCATTTTTTTTTGGAGACTCGAGACTAGAGACCATTACAGTTCTGTTCATCACTGTTTGCCGAAATTTTATTCGCTGGATTTTTTTGGCACTGTTTTTATGGTCAGGAAGGTTGGTTTTTAACCATTTTAGATTCGGGTTTTAAGTGGACAAGCCAGGAGGGGAAACAGAGGTGGAGTTGAACACTACCTAAGATCCTTGCTGAGGTCAGCAGCGGTGGGGTCTTCAATTGATCCTAGAACCGAAAGTCCCTCCCAACAATACGGATCATCCAGCCAATCAACTGTTGGACTATCTTGCCTTCAAGCTTGCCGATCGGGCACTTTCTGAGCCCACGAGTCGTTTTCGACGATCTTGCTACCTGAGGAGTCACCGATCGGGGGAGTTGTACTCGTTGGATTGCGGGGAGGCCTTCTGTTTGAAATGCTGCGGGGAACGCGGATCTTACGGCACCAGGGCTCTCGTTCCTCGCTCTCCCGTCTCAGCCAACCCTCCATCCCCTCGTCCCCTTCCCCGTGCCATTCGCAAAGCCCTGCTCTCTCCTCCCTGTTACCCCCTTCGTCGTTCTTCGCACCACCTGTGAGCGATGCTGCTCCCGATCTCGTACCCACCGCTCCTGGCGAAATCGGGAGCAGTCGCCATGCCGTCGCCGCGTTCCGCTCGGCGACAGTGTGCGACGGCGGCGACGACAACAGCGACGGTAGCAACAGCCGATTTACTAACAGCCATTCCTCCCCCGCACTGGCATGGACTAGGCGCCTCAGTCCACGAGTAGTAGGCACTGCTACGATCGCTGCTAGCAACAGCAGCAACAGTAGCAACAGCAGCAACAGCAGCAGCAGCAGCAGCAGCAGCTCAGCAGCAAGAATCTCCGTGCTCACACCCACGCGCGGTCTTCCACCCGCCGTCCCTCATGCTTATTGCCGTCTCCTCTCCCACCCGCTTTCACCGTCATCTTATCCCGGTCACGCCGCCTGCCTCCATTCCACGGCGGCGAGAGTGCTAGCTGCGGGCGACGAGCCCCAGAACAGTGCCGGGAACGGCGCAAGGTTGGCAGGAGTGTGCGGAAGGGGAGGGGAAAAAGAGGGTGGAGAGGGGGGTGGGGGGGGAGGAGAGGGAGGGGGCGACGGTGGGGGGGGAGGAGAGGGAGAGGGAGCGAGGCAGCAGGCAGGGGGTAGGGAAGGGCAGAGGCCAGTTATGGGTGTGAGGGAGCAAGGGAGGAGGCCTATGGAGCAACGACGTTCGGGGTTTGGGGGACAGGGCCAGGGTTATGGCAGGGACCAGCAGCAGCTGCCACCTTTTCAGCAGCGGCATCAACAGCAGCAGCAGCAGCAGCAGAACTTTCAGAGTTTCAGGCAGAGAGGAGGGAGGAGCGGCGAGGGTGAGAGGCGGTGGGACGGCAACCGGCCTCCTCGGCAGTACGAGCAGCAACCCCCGAACCAGCAGCGTCCCGCGAATCAGCGGCCATACCCGAATCAGCAGCAGCAGCAGCAGCAGCAGCATCAGTATCAGCAGCAGCAGCAGCATCAGTATCAGCAGCAGCAGCAGTATCAGCAGCAAGGGCAGCAGGGGCAGCAGCAGCAGAGGCAGCAGGGATCGGGTGTCATGGGTAGAGTACAGAAGCAGTCATCCGGGGGCCCTAAGGGCCCGTTCCAGGGGCAGGGACGGGGACAGGGACAAGGGCAGGGGCAGGCACAGGGGCAGGGGCAGAGTCAGGAGATGAGAGTGAACGAGGCGATTACTGCACGGACGGTGCGGCTGGTGACTGATGAAGGTGTGTAGCTGGTAGGGTGGGGGAGTTTCACAAGAACAATCAAGCTTGTGGATGGCTGGACCATCCCTTCAGGCTTCAGCTACAAGCATTGACATCCAGCTTCCAGCTTTTGAAGTTCCACGTCCAACCAACTACTCTTGCATCCACGTGTCCTTCCGCCTTCGCCCCTTCTCATCCAGAAACGTCCGTCTTATGCCTTTCTCTCTTCCCTTCCCCCTACCCTTCCCTCCCCTACCTGTCCTTCCCCCTACCCATTTGCTCCCAATCGTTACCCCCTACCCACTCACCACCTACACACGCACCGAATGCCCCACACCCCCACCCACCCACACTCCCCCCCCCCTCTCTCCTCTCCCGCTCCCCCTCCCCGCTTCCCCCTGTTTGCAGGCCACGAGGTTGTTTCTCGACCGCAGGCGCTCAACCGGGCTCGTATGGCGGGGCTCGACCTGGTGGAGGTACGACCTGGTTCAGGGATTCCTTGCTCTACCCGTTGCACCTCCTGGTAGATGAGAGAAAAGTTTTGAGACGTCTCAAAACTAGATAACTATCACACGGGCTTGATCTGGGTGAGGTGAGACCTGACTCAGGGATTCCTTCTTGTCTCCATGGCCGGCCAGACTCCCACCCATCCCATGGCCATCGCAGGTGTGCCCTCGCGCTGACTCCCCCGTGTGGAAGCTCATGGATATCGGAAGAAGCGCACTCGCTTTCTTTCAAGCAAACATTCACCTGGTCCCTGCGACTCTTCCCAACTCCCCCCTCCCTCCACCCCACCCCACCTATCGCCATCGCAGGTGAACCCCCGCGCCGACCCCCCCGTGTGCAAGCTCATGGACTTTAGCCGCTTCCGGTTCGAGCAGCGGAGAAAGGACAAGGAGATGCGCAGAAAGAAGGTGCTCGTGGGAGGGGGACTGGCAGTGGGTGGGGAGGAGGACGGGGAGGGGAGAGGGAGGAGGAGGAGTTGGGGGAGGAAGAATTTGAGGGCGGAAAGGGGAGGCTGGGGAAGGAGGGAGGGGTGATTTTGTTGCGAGATAGTGAGGCTGATAGGACGAGGGGTTGCGGAGATTGATGGATCTGTGATGTCCCGTGTCATCTTTGTCGCAATCAACCCCCCTCCTGAGTTGTCTTCAGTGCTTGTACACCTACCTGTACCTGTTTGCCTGCGCTTCCTTACTGGGTCGTTGGGTGGCAGGTGGAGAAGCGGAGGCGCGATGAGGTGAAGGAAGTGCGGGTGGGCTGTCGAACGGTGAGTCTGTTCGTGAAACGACGCCTTAGAAGGGATGTGGGAGTGAGCTTTTGAAAAGTGAGATGAGGAAGGGGAGAGGATCGGATGGGATGGGAGGGGAGGCAGAGGGTTGCGATAACAAGTTGCATGGAGGGAAAGGCCAGAGGGTGTGATGTTGTTTTGAGTCGACTCAATCAAGACACACTCAGACCGTTTTGAGTCGACTCAAGACACTCAGAACGCTTTGAGTCGGCTCAAAACACACCGGAAAGGCCAGAGGTTGTGAGGCTGGTTGGGAAGAGGGGGGAGGTGGGAAGGAAGGGCGTTTCAGTACATATCCATCTCCACCTCCTGCTCCCTCACTTCCTTTCTCTCACTCTCGTACTCACACCCTCTCTTCACTCGCACTCCCACACACATCCTCGCGCACGCTCTCGCCCACTCAGGCTCCCTCCCTGCCTCCCGTCTCCTTCCTCCCTCCTCTCCTCCCTGCCCGTGCGAGCACCAGGAAGCAAGGGACGTGGCCATGAAAGCAGATGCGGTGTTGAAGCATCTGCACAGAGGTCACCGGGTCAAGGTGGGTGTGTTTCGTGATAAAGGACAGAAGAAAGGACAGAGGAACAAGTGAATCTAGACAGAATGGCCAAGTCAGGGTCAGAGCACCTCCTTCCCTGGGCTATTACAGCACCTCCTGTATCACTGCTTTGCCGACGCAAAGGGCGGGGTGAGATGTCTCCACCTATGCTTACTTTCGCACCTTTTTTACTCCTCCCACCAGGTCTCGCCCAACCCAATCCCCATATCCTCTCCATCCTGTGCTTTCTTGGCTCTTATACCCTGCCGCCTGCCCCCTGCCTCCTGCCCCCTGCCCCCTGCCCCCTGTCAAATCTGTGCGCTGTGCGTGGCATCCACTGTAGTCAGTGGATCACGACCAGGCTGTGGGGCCTCATTCGGTTAAAACCCGCGGCCCAAATTACAAGGCGTGGCCTTCAAACGCAGTGCGTTTGAAAGTCGTGCTTTCGTGGGGGTCGAGTGGGGTAACGTGGCTCTTGTCAGTCAGGGGTGGCTTTCAAGTTCAGTGCGCCAAGCATTTTGGGCTCCATGTGCAGTGCGTTTTTCGGCCGTCCATTTCCACTTAGATTCCCATCTGACGGCCCTCAAGGCAATTTGTTACTCCATTGCACCACCAGTGATTCCCCGCGTAGTCTCAACCGTCGAACTGCCAGCTGACGAATCTGACGGTCCACGAACATTTTCAATTTGCGAGAAGGAACGCCCTCGCGATTTTTCCGTGTGTTTCGTATAACCCAACACCCATTTTTCATACGCACTGAACAATTTGGGCCGCGGGTTTTAAGCACATTGTGTTTTCCGATGCTCAATGTCTCATTCTGTGTGCTGGCCCTGCGTGTCCCGTGTGTGCTTTGCGTGCCAGATGTCGGTGACGTTCAAGTCAGCGGATCACGACCAGGCTGTGGGGCAGGCACTGCTGCAGACCATGATCTCACGGGTAAGTTAAGCTCCTCACAGGGAGGGTGTTGATGTGCAGAGTGGAATATGTGTGGGTTGTTCTGGTGGAAGAGTTGTTCTGCACTTTAGAATGATCTGGCATACTACTGGCAAGCTACTTCCTCCCCTTCTCTTCTCTCATCGGTCTGCCATCTCCCCCTCCCTTCCCTCTCCGGTCCCCCCTCCCTTTCTCCTCCCGTTCCCTGCATCTCACTAATCTTTCCCCTTTCTGCCCTCCATCTTCCCTGTTTCCGACATGACACATCTTCAACATCCACAGTCCATGCCTCACTCCCACGCCCTGCTCCCCATGGCACATCCCCCAAGGATCATTAACCACCCATACGCATTTTTTTCTCCTGGCTGGCACCCCATACCCCCACAGCTAGGAGAAGCGGCCATAGTGGAGGTGAAGCCTCGCGATGAGAGCCATCGCATGTGGTGCATTGTCAGGCCCACGCCCTCGCTGCTCTCGGATGGTAGTGCCACTGCCAAGGGCAAGGGCAAGGTGGCACGTGCTGCTGGGAGGGAGGGTGAGATGGATGAGGGGGAGGAGGAGGATGAGGAGGATGAGGAGGATGAGGAGGATGAGGAGGAGGGTGAGGATGAAGATGAGGAGGAAGAGGAAGGGGAAGAGACTGTGGATGGGGATATTGACGAGGAAGTGGGTAAGGGGAGAAGGGAGGGGAGGGACGACGATGAGGACGAGGGTGAAGATGAAGGGAAGGGGATTATGTCGGTTGAGAATGTTTCTGATGATAAAACTCGTGCGGAGGTTGCAGAGGTTGCAGGGCCAAGTTAGATCCTGGCCATGATTGTGTTTGTAACACTATCTCATCATATTTTTGTGAAGTGAAAAAGTACTCAAAAGGGGTGTAATGTTGAGGCTTAGAAAATTCATGTGGGTAACTTGACTCCAAAATCCGGATGCCGTCTTCGCGGATTTCGCGAGTCTGCTCTTTCTGTAACCGCTCAAGCAGCTGTCATTTCCTTCCGAGCCAACTTCCGAAGCTCTAGCAACTTTGCCTCGGGATCTTTTACGAACCACTTTTCCCCCACTGTGCTGCGTCACTCACACAGTATGCTGGGGCACCCATGGCAAAGTCTAGGTCAAACTCATGACTCACTGGTCCTGTTCGTGAGTTAGGGAGCTATTTTCCATGGTACTGTAGTTTCAAGGGTCCGCCTTTCGGGTTCTGGCTGGGTCTCGGGACGGCATCTCGCACGCCGCGCTGGCCTGTGAGCGTGACTTCGGCTTTCCCGCTTCGCCCGTTTGCCACTCGGATCGTCCTCCCTTCACGGCAACCCACTTCCGTCGGTAGTTTTTCGCGACCGCCTTTCGCTTTCACCAACCATACTTTTGCTGTCACTTCGCCATTTCCCCTTATTTTTCTCGCAAACGCTACTTATATAACGGAGGAGCAGTTCCGTTGGTTAACTCCCTCTGGGGCGAGCGGGGGGGATAAGAGAGTCCCAGGAAGGGCGCGGTGTGGGAGGAAGGGAGCAAATCTGAATTGACTCAGATACAGAGAGTAGCGGCAATACAGGGAGTAACGGCACGCGGAAAAAAAAGGAAAAAAAAACGGCACGCATTAAAAAGTTACGGCACGATGCAGTCGAATTCTATGAACGATGCGGCCATCACGGCGAAGGAGGACGCCGCTAAGGAGCTCGCGAAGCTGCTGCCGCTCCCGGAAAACCTGGTCAACCTGGCCGCGCTGCGCGTCGACTACGCGCAACGGCAGCAGGTAGGAGAAATAGGAAAATTAGGGGAAATAGAGGGAAAAGGGGGAATAGGGGGAAAAGGAGATGTAGGGAGTGTAGGAGGACTAGCGTTTATGCAGCTCTCTGCCGGAGTTTCAGTGGTTTGCGATCAGATTGCGTACGTGTGAGCGGTTGCGGAGGGCGTAGTGTGCTTTTAGGTGGGTGTGATTGTAGGGCATTGGTGGTGTCATAATAATGTGTCCGCAAGAAGCGAAGGGGAACGTCTGGGGTTGACGAGTGGTCGGAAACAGTTTTTTTAACGCTTGTTTTACGGGAGGAGGCTGGTCGCGAGGTGGGTTAGGGAAACCAGAGAAACCGAAGGACACCAAGAGCAGAGCAGGCAATGCGCAGCCAGCGGACCAGCAGCGGAAGGAGACTAGGTCGGCAATCTTTTGTAATGTTCTTTATTATATTCCCGCCAAACGGTAAGGTTCTATTTCCGCCTTACGGCTAGAATAAGCAATGCGTTCGAATCACATCCGCGCGCAGCGTCTATTAATATTGGTTTTTTTTTTTTTTTTTTTTTTTTGCTGTTGCGCTAGTGAATGCTCCAATAGAGCTAGCGAGCAGGTCACGCGCGATATCTCTCTCTCTCTCCCCCTCGCTCGCTTCTTCGCCCCACTGGCCTCGTAGTCTCTCCAAGGGGGGGTGAGCTGGTAGCTGCGGCGGCAGTAAGTCTCGCGAGTCGCTGTGCTGTAAATGAAGGGCGAATGCGCGACATTCTCGATGCGTTTTGAGTCTGTGTCGTCTGTGTCGTCATGTTGCCGTGTGATGAGAGAGGCTCACGGAGCGGAGCGACTGGAATTGCGTGCGACTTGATGAGGTCCTGCAGCATCAGGCACTGCACATCTCTTAAAAATACCCGGAAACATGATGAGGTCCTCCCTTCACTGCCAAAGACCCAACCCCACCCACCCATCATACCCTCCGTCTTCTTACCCCAATCCCGTCACTTTCTCGCTCTCTCTGCCCCCCCCCCTTCCCTCCCTCCCCCTCACCCACTTCTCCTCCCTTGAGTGCCGCTCACACCCCCGCTCCTCCTATTCCTTCCCCCCCTCGCCTTTCGTCTCCGCCAGGCCAACGACGCTCAGCTCAGCAGCAGCGTGACAGCGCAGGTACGTGCATTGAACCTCTTCCGCCTTTCAGTGCGGACCTCATCTTCACTTCACGGCCCTCTGGCTGTATCTTCTCTCTTTGGCTGTACTTGGTGCTTTTTTTTTCTTCCTGTCCTGTCACCCCTACTGACTTCGCTCCTACCTGGCCGTCTTCTTTCTTTTTTGCTTGTTCCATCCCAATCTCACACGCTCCCTCGGTCCCATCCTTGCTTCCCAACATCCCCGAACGCACTTTCCGTCCTCCACACGGTCGTCCTTACACTGCCTCTCACCCTGTTTCGAGCCAGCTTGATCTAGCCCCCCCACTCTCCCTCGCCCCACACTTCTCCACTCTTCCCATGCCCTTCATCCGACGCACTAACATTCATTGCCATTCCCATTCCCTTGTTGTTGTCTCAGGTGGAGCAAGCGCGCAGTGGAATCGAGGCGCTGGCAGCAGCACAGGAGACCATCGCTCGACTGCAGCAAAACTTTGTCATCATTGAGAAGTGAGGGCTGCTCCGCACTGCACTGCATCCCTCCCCGCCTGCCCTCTCCCGCCTGCCCACTCCCACCTGCCCTCTCCTGCCTGCCCTCTCCCGCCTTCAGTTTCTTCCTCCCATAGTCTTGCTTCCTGCTCTTTGCGTGTCAAGCTTGCCCGTTCACCCTGCCTCCTGCGTGTGTTCTCCTTGTGTTCACACGTTAACAGCTCTCTCTCACACACGGACTAACCCCCTCCCGCACGCCCCTCTCGCCAGTCTGTGTGCGGAGTGCGACACCTTGATTCAGAACCACGATCAGATCAAGCAGCTCAACATCGTGCGCAACAACCTCAACAAGACCCTCAAGGTATGCGCCTGCCCGCTTCACCAACCCCCCGCCTTGATTCTTTCTCGCTCGCCCCTGCTACTGACCTATTCATTCTGGCCGGGACACTCGCAGCATTCTGCTGATGGGTGCAGTGCAGCACGTTGCTGTTAATCCCACTGAAGATCTAAACTCCCGTGACATGACTCCCTCGCGTTCCCACCTGACCTGCCGGTTGGCCTGCCCCTTGCGTTTTTCGTTGTGTCTCCCCAGGATGCGGAGGGCATGCTATCCATATCAACGGAGGCCAGCGAGGCCAGGGCGTCGCTCAATGACGAGCGTGAGCTCGTCAAGTCGTACGAGGTCAGTTGAGTCATGCACTGCCTGTCAGTTCAGCCATGCGGCTGCACTGACTGATGCTTTCCTTCCCCACCCCCCCCCTGCCCGTATCCTTTTCTTTTCTCTCTCCCATGGTCATGGTTATCGGGCTATCCCTCCCTCCCAACACTCACGTGTGAAAACCCAACGTGCCACGAGGCGCACATCGCAAGCCGTATGTTCTAAGCTCAAATCTTCATGTGACGCAGGAATCCGTGCTCTCTTTCTAACCTTTCAGCTGCCTTCTGACTGACCGCGCTGTGCTGTGGATTCCACTCTTCGCCCTGCTTTGCTATGCTATGCCCCTCTGCTGCTTCCCCCCAGCGCCTCACTGCTCTGGAAGGCAAGCGTCGTTTCGCCCTGGCTGCTGCTCAGAGACGACCGGAAGAGGCTGGTAGACTGAGGTGAGGGAGAGAGGGAGAGTGAGAGAGTGATGGCGAGATAGAAGTGGGGGGGAGGGAGGAATCCGGGGCGGGGGAAAGGGGGGGTGGATGGAAGAGGAGGAACAGCAGCAGAAGGGGGGGTGGGGAGAGAGGGGGGGAGGGGGGGGGGGGGGAGGGTTCGGGCATCAAGGGAAAGAGAAAAATGCACAAAACTGAGGAGCGAAAGGAGTGAAAGGGCGGTTATTGAAAGAACGGATGTGCACATTCACACAACGCAACGCACATCCCCATCTCGCCCTCTCGCTCTCTCGCCCTCTTGCCCTCTCGCCCTCTCGCTGCCCTGTCTTCCCCCCCAGGGAGTACTTTGAGGATGTGAACCGCACGAAGCAGCGGTTTGAGGAGACGCTGTGGCGCTACATCCGCGAGTTCTTCAAGCACGCCAAGACCCGCCCGCAGACGCTCGTGCAAGCTGTCAGGTAGAACAGCATAGCATAGCTTGTCTGCCTGCCTGCCACACTCTATCTGCCTGCCCCTAGCCCTTGTCTGCCACGCTTTACTTATTCCGGTTGCTAGGAGACTAACACTGGTGCGCCGTCTTTGGAGACGTATACCGTATACAGAATCTTACGTGACGTGGCTGGCCGAATTGAGTACGCCGTCCTCACTTCCTGCCCTTAGTTGGTACTGCCTGTGCCGTCTCAGAGCAGTGGGTGGAGATGCAGGAGATCCTGACGAGGAGAGCGAGCGAGGGAGGCTCTAGAGTCACTCTACTCTTTGTGCCCCCAGTCTCTGTTATCCCCGCGTTACACCCTATTCCCCCCCCCCCTCAGGGTGGTGGAGATGCAGGAGATCCTGGACGAGGAGAGCGAGCGAGAGCACAAGGACCGGGAGGGCGAAGAGGACGACGAGGACGACGAGTACGGGCGGCAGGACGAGCGCAACGGTCACATAGAGGGCGCGGGGTACAAGGACATGTGCTACCAGCAGATCCAGCTGGGGGTGGACGACCGCTTTCATGAGCTGCTCAACAAGGTGTGTTGGCTGGTTGCTGTGTGCTGTGGGCAGCGTGCTGTGTGCTGGTGCTGCATGCTGCATGCTGTGTGCTGCTCCCTCCCTCCCCCCCTCTCCCTTCGGTGTTTTCTTGGCCTCTCCAGGCACCCCGTCCAGCCAGAGTCTGCTCGTCTCTTTGGTCTCCTCATCGTCTTCTCATTTTTCTTCACCTCTTTTTGGATCCTCCTGGCTTAAACAGTCGCAGCTCTGTACATCCATCACACCAACACAAGCTGCTATGCCTCCTCTCTCCCTTCACTTCACCCCGCATTCCCCTCTCCCGCACCGCCTTCCTCTTTCCCTTCGCCCATGCGCTTTTTCCCCTTGCACCCCTGCGTCCTCCCTTCATCCTCCCCTGCGTCCTCTGTACCTGTCAGCTGGTGTACGAGGACCTTAAGAAGGCTCTGGAGGAAGCCACTCTGGTAAAATCGCAATTCCTCTCTGCCTACCTGCCTGCCTGCCTGCCTGCCTACCTTGCATCTTTTCCGCATCTCCATTTTGTTCTGACCATACCTGTGCTCCTCGCCTCCTCTCACCTCCACTGTCTCACCCTCTTTCACTTCAACTCAACCCCCTCACCCCTCCCCCCTCGCCCTCCCTCCCCTCCCCTCCCCTCCCCCTCCCTCCCTCCCTCCCTCTCCGCACTGCTCTCCCCCGCAGCTCGTGGACGACCTTGCTGACGTGCACAAATACGTGGCTCCCTGCTTCCCACCCCGGTGAGTTCCCATCTCAAGCGTTTCGAGGTGACTTTTGAGTCGACTCAAAAGTCGCCGCAGTGAGGTCCCATCTCACGCGTTTCCGTGCGATCTTGAATGCCTTGCTGCAGCATCTCACTCACATGCCATCTCCATCCCACCTATCACCTGTCTCGTCTGGCCTAGGCTCTCCGCACCCACCCCTTGCCCACTGACCACCCCTCCCTCGCTCTCCATGCCTTGTTCTGATGCTCTGGAAAGCCCAACTTTCCGCTCTCGTGGCCGCTCCTCTCCCCCCCGTGCAATTTGTCTGTGTGCTGTGTGCTGTGCTGTGCTGTATGCCGTGCTGTGCCATGGCACTGCACCAGGTACGAGGTGTTCCAGGTGATTGTGCAGCTGTACACGCAGCACTTCGTGACCATGCTGCACAAGCTGGGCGACAGGGCCAAGGACATTGACAACATCGACATCCTCAAGGTGGGGACTTGTGCTTGAAGGGGGGTTGTGTTGTGTGTCATCGTGGCTCATCGCTGGCTGGTGAAGGATGGTCGATGGCTGATAATTGATGGGCGGGTGGGGCGAGCTGGGCGAGAGGACCAAGGGCATTGACAACATCGACATCCTCAAGTTGGGACTCGCGTTCGCAAGAGGGTGATGAATGCATGCTGCATAATGCATGCTGCTGCAGCAGTGGAATACGTGCAGCAACGAGTTGCAATTTGCAAACTGTCCTCCTCTGCGGACCCCCCTCGTCTCTTCTTCCCCTCCCTCCTGATTCTCTTGCCCGCATCTCTCCCCCACTCTTTCCCTCCCTCCCCCCCTCCCTCCCGCACTCACATACGGAAACAAACGCACGCCTGCAGCTGGTGGGGTGGATCAACACGTGTGAGGCGAAGATGGGGCAGCTGGGCGTGGAGGACAGCGTGTCCATGCTGCTGTCGGAGAGCGGTGCGCTGGACCCGCTCATCGACGAGTACGCCGAGCGCATGTCGGAAACCATGAAGGGCTGGCTCAAGAACATCCTCGAGTTCGACAAGGTGCGCGCCAAGTGGGGGGAGGGAGGGGGGGGGGGGGGGGAGGGGAGAGAAGAAGATCAGGTTGAGAGAGGTAGTGGGCGGTGCTTTGGATGGGCTTGATTGGTTGCCGAGTATGCTGAGCAGAGCAGCCAGAGCAGCCAGAATAGGTGCAGCAGGTGCAGGAGAACAGTAGTGGCGGGGCTTCTCCCCCAGCTCTCCCTCTCACTCTCTGCCTCTTCTTCTGCCAGTCCCCCGCCCACTTCATCCGCCCCAATCTCTTCAGCCCCTCTCTCACTCCCCCCCCCCCTCCCCCCCACCACCACCTCTCTTCTCCGTTTCCGGCCGCCCTCCCTCCCATCCCCCTCTCTCTCCCCCATGACAGAACAACCCTCCGAACGGCGACGAGGGCCCGCTTTACACACCGGTGGCGGTGGACATGTTCCGACTGCTGTCGGAGCAGGTGCAGCAGGTGCAGGAGAGCATTCTCCCCCATCCCATCTCCCCTCCCCCACCCACCCCCTCATTCCACTCCACCCCTCCCCACTCTCTGGCTTGTGCGCGGTCTCCGCCTCCTTTCTCCCTTTCCTCCCCCGCCTCTTCCTGTCCCTACTACCACCCCCCCCCCCCTCCTCATCAGAGCAACCCTCCGAACGGCGACGAGGGGCCGCTGTACACGCCGGTGGCGGTGGACATGTTCCGACTGCTGTCGGAGCAGGTGCAGCAGGTGCAGGAGAACAGCAACTCGCTCATGCTCTTCAAGACCGCGCAGGCCATCGTGGAGGTGAGGGTGCGAAGGGTGGGTGTGTGTGACTAGGGGGAATGTTTGTATTTGGAGTCTGCATTTGATGGCGTACAACATTCGCCTGCGCTGCTCTCGTGCACCTCCTTCACTCCCCCAACAACCCCCCCATGTGTGCTTGTGCTCATTCGTACATCCGTGCGCATGCACACGTTTGCGCATGCATGCTTGTGTGTGTGCGCGCGCGCGCGCGCCCATATGTGTGTGTGCGGCATATGCATGTGCATACGTGCGTGTGCTCCTTCCCCAATCCCCCCTCTTCCCCCCCCCCCCCCCCCCCTCCCCCCCTGCAGCTGATCCTGGACTTCCAGGAGGAGGAGATCAAGTGGCTCAAGCAGCCTGTCGACACCATCGGGCTCGAAACACTCTGTGCCATGGTGAGAGCTTCACACACACTGTGCCACGGCGAGAGCTTGACACACACACTGTGCCAGGGCAAGAGCTGGCAAACCACTATTCTCTGAATCTCCGCCCTTCCTTTCCACTGCTGTCGCTGCTGCAGCAGCTCACACCTTCCCCCATCATTCCCTCACAGCAGCGCAATGAGATTGTTTGCTGCCACGTCATCCGCCGTATCCATCAGTCCCTCTCTTCCGAGCCCTTGCTCCTCTGCTGGTTCCAGCTCGTTAGATTTCCCCCCACTACTCTCACCCCTTCCCCCACCACTCCCTCTCCTCCCCCTGAGGTGCCATGGGCTGTGGAGCTGATGTTCAGATGCAACCGAAATGAACCCTCCCCACTCCCCCCCAAAAACACCACCGCCCCCCTCTCCTCCCCCCCAGGTGAACAACAACGTGCGGTGCCATGACCTGTCTGTGGAGCTGGGCAACACCATCGTGGAGGCTCTTGAACAGAAGCACGCAGAGCTGGTGGGTGTCCATGCATGCATGCATGGGGTAAGGTGGGAATGTTGATGCTGCTGCTGGTGCTGGTGCACTGTCCGCACTTTGATACTATCCTACTCCGCTTTCTCTCGAACTCTCACTTGCCATGCTTTATCATCCCCTCATCAACCCCTCTCCTTCTCCTTCTCCTCTGTCCTTCCCACCCTCCCCTACCTCCCCCCTCCTCCTGGCTTCCCCCTCCTCTTGGCTCCCATCTCCTCCTGTCTCACAGATCGACTTCCAGAAGCCGTGCTCCGGGTTTCTTGAGGTGGCAAAGGTCAGTCTGTCCTTTCACCGTTTCGGTCCCAGGCGGAACAGGGTTGCATAAGCGATGAATGCAGGTTCACAGGAGAGGGGGGGGGTGGGGGGGGGGGGAGGGACGGGGTGTTAGGGTAGGAAGGAGGGTCGCTTAGTCGCAGTGGTGATACGGGTAACCTGGGAGATATGCGAGCGATTCTGTGTGTATACGGGGTTGTGATGGAGGGTGGGTGCAGATTGGAGTACGAACCGAGAAGAAAGTGAAGGGTCGCTGTTCAAGGCCATGCAGAGAATGGGGGGTGGGGTAGCCTTAGCATGTCATGCCAGTCCATACCGTGATTTACATTACCATTCCATACAAGACCTCACCATGCTATACCATGCCACCATGTCATACCACAGCATGCCATGCCATGCCATACCGCACCATGCCGTGCAATGCCATACTGCACCATGCCATGCCATCCCATACCGCACCATGCCATACCGCACCATGCCATACCGCACCATGCCATGCCGCACCTTACCATGCCGTATCCTCCTCGCCCCCCAGGAAGCGGCCAACCAGGCGGTGGAGTTCATGTTCCTCGAGTCCCTCAAGGACGTCGTCGCCAAGCTCTACCAGAAAGGCAAGCTCTACCAACAAACCAGGCCACCTAGTCCTTGCCGCCGCATAGACTTTGTCGCACAGTCCGTGGCCCATAGTCCTAGTCGCTCAGAGTTTATTGCACAGTTCATGTCACATAGTCCGTGTCGCCTGCCTGTGGCTCAAGCCTGCACTGTTGAATGGCACAATCCGGCAGTGCTGCACTTGCCGAGCACGTGTATTTCTTCCTGGCTCTTTTGCTGCATCTCTCACCCCCCCCCCCTTCAAAGATCCCGACCTTACTCCGTATTCTTCTAGCACCTGACCTAGCATTTTGCATCAATCTGTCGCCTGTGTCATGCCTTCACTGCTCGTGTGGTGGGGTGCAGAGTGGTTGGAGGGCAACGTGACTCAGACGTTCATCGCTACTCTCGAGGACTACTTCCAGGATATCAACAGGTGAACGCAGGGATCTTCTTGCCCTCTCTGTGAACATGGGAGGAGGAGGGAGGGGGGGGGAGGGGTGTAGTGGGCCAGGGGGGGAGGGGGGAGGAGGGGGGGGGGAGGGGGATGGGGGAGGTTGTGTGGGGGGTGTACCTAACCGCATGTGGGCATTGCCCCTCTACACACTAGCCACTTCATGGGCGCCGATCCCTTGTGCTTCATCTTGCTGCTCCGCACTCTCCCTCTCTCATTCATTACCCCCCGTGCGGCCGCGCCCCCCAGGTGGATTGAGGACCGCTCGTTCCGTCGCTTTGCGGAGGTGTGCCTGGAGCGCACCGTGGTGGTGTACGTGGACCTGCTCATGCAGTCGGTGAGTCGTTTCTGGGGTGCTCCTTGTCGTTTCCTCACTGATGGTATCTGGGCATGTCCTAAGCGTACGTCCGAATGCGGTTGAGTGAGATGGATTGCGTTTCAGAAGGATCAGATAAATATGTAAAACGGTTCGGTAGGGTATTGACAGAAAACTAGCGCTTAGGACACGCCCTCAGTATGTATGCACACGGAATGTACAGCGTGTGTGTCTGGGTCCGTGTGCATGGGTGTGCTTGGAGTGCACCGTGGTGGTGTACGTGGACCTGCTCATGCAGTCACTCTTTCCGATGCTGAAAGGCTCACTGATTGTGTATGCATGCATGCACAGGAAATGTATGTGCAGTCTGTGTGCGTGTGGGTGGGGGTGTGCTTGATGTGTTCCTTGGTGGTGTATGTGGACGGACCTGCTCATGAGTCCAATGCTGGGGCGCTCATTGTGTGCCTGTACGTATGAATCCAGCCGTGTGGAATCCGCCCATGGGGATGGGCGAATGATGGACTCCATGAATCCACGTCAGTCTAACCAACAAGGTGTTTTTGAGAATTCTCAAAAACACCCTGCTTACCAACACTGGCCCATGCACCCTCCCACCCTGTGCTCTCTTCCCCTTGCTTATCCTTCCTCCATCCATCTCTTCCACCCTTTACCGCCCACCCTGCCAGCCAATGCAGTTGAACGGAACGGGCCACGCTGCCATGCTCTCTCTCTCCCACCTGTGCCTCTACTAAGCACTTTCCTTTGCATATGCTTTTGCCCCATTGTGTATTCTATTCTCCCCCAGTAAATTCTCTCCATCTCTCTGTTTCTTCCCCTCCTGGCGCTTCCGCTCACCTTTGCGTCCATGCATGCATGCATAACAGCGCCAGAGCATAACAGAGGTGACCATCAGTCAGATGCAGAGGATCCATGATTCAAGTCTTCCAACGCTCCCTTCGCTCGTCTTTCCTCTCTCCACATCCCTCGCCCTCTTTGCTCTTGTGCATGCATAACAGCGCCAGAGCATAACAGAGGTGACCATCAGTCAGATGCAGAAAGACGAGGAGAGCATTAGGGAGTTCTTCCAGGAGTACATCTCGCAGCAGGTACGGTTACATCTCATGAAGGCACGGTTTCATCTCCGAGCAAGCAGGCACGATAACATCTCACAGCAGGTCCAACACATTGTTCAGCTACGCCTGATGAGATCTATCAGCTTTTGAGTCGACTCAAAGGCAGCTCATGCTTCACCTGTGCCTGATGACATGAGACCTGTAGCTGTTGTGCCCGTTAGCTACTTCCCCTGGAGTCAACTGAAGAGCCAGTCACCTATTCACCCGTGCGCTGCTGCTGCTGCTGCTGCTGCTGCTGCTGCTGCTGCTGCCTCGCCCGTCCCCTCGAAACCCCCTGCAGTTGCTGGGCAGGCGCGTGCAGCCGTTGGCAGGCATGCTGTCCGTGCTACTCCATCCATGTCTTGACCCTTGGCCGTGTGTACGACTCTTAAGCTACTCACTCATTCCTCCCCATGCCCTGCTCCTGTCGCGCCCTCCCTCCCAAAACCCCCCTGCAGAAACTGGACAAGAGCGTGCAGGCCTTGGTACGCATGCAAGCGTGCATGCGTGCATGCAGTCGCCGTTGATGGCTCTTGACTCCACCTCACATGCGCGGCGGCGATACAAGGCTTCTTCCACTCACCCGTGCCGCCAACCACTCACTCCTTCCACGAACCAACCTCCACCACCCCCCGCCCACAGGACCCCCCCAATCCCCATGAACCCCCTCCCCCCCCACACAGAAACTGCACAAGCGCGTCCTGCCATTGACGGACCCGCGGTCCTTGTTCAGCCGTCCCTGCTGTCCCTGTCGAGACCTTGTGCATGACTCAAAGCCTGTCACTCATTCGCCCGTGCCCTGCTGCTGCCGCACCCCTCCCCACGAAAACCCACCATCCCTCCCCCCCCCCCTCGACAGAAACTGGACAAGCGAGTGCTGCCGTTGGCGGACCTGCGGTCGCTGGCAGCATCAGATGACGCGGAGACGTTCACTCTCAACTACACGCAGCTGCTCTCCAACACGTCTGACTGCCCGGTGAGCCTTGCTTTGTGCCTATGGCCCAGGGCCTAGGGCCTACTTCTAGGTCTCCACTTTGGATGCCTTGGATGTGATGTAGCGCTCAACGGGCGCTTGTGCTGGGCCTACTTCTAGGTCGTCATTCCCAATTAATTGGATGCTGCTTTCAGAGCTCGAGTAGCGGAGAAGCAGCTCTCAAATCAGCTGCACGCAGCTTCTCTCCAACTCACCCCCGACTGTCCAGTGAGCCGGCTTCAGCTCTTGGTGTTGTACAGTTCTGTTTTTTAGGCTCCCCAAGAATTGGCTGCCCTGTGGGTGTTGCACTTGGGTGTTCCACAAAGAACTCCCCTCCTCATCGCCCCTCCATACCCCCTCCTTCCTTTCAACCCCCCCCACCTCTCCCCCCTCTCCTCTGCTGTGCCACCCCTCCTGCAGCCCGAGGTGGTGGAGAAGGTGGTGAACCTGCGCGAGGGCATTCCCAAGAATCTAGTTCTTAGGCGCCTCAACACCCACCACCCCTTTTCTCCTCTCCCGTGCTGTCACCCGCTGCAGCCCGAGGTGGTGGAGAAGGTGGTCAACCTGAGCGAGGGCATTCCCAAGAAGTCTAGTTCCTATGGGTTAAACACCAAATATCTCCTCTTCCCCCCCCCCCCCTCCTCTCCTGTGCCACCCCTCCTGCAGCCCGAGGTGGTGGAGAAGGTGATGAACCTGCGCGAGGGCATTTCCAAAAGGTCTAGTTTGCAGGCGCCTCAACACTCAATATCTCCCCCACCTCCCCACCCTTTTCTTCCCTCCCGTGCCGTCACCCCCTGCAGCCCGAGGTGGTGGAGAAGGTGGTGAACCTGTGCGAGGGCAATCCCAAGAAGTCTAGTGTTTAGGCGCCCTCAACAACACTTATTATCTCCCCTCTTCCCCCCCCCTCTCCCCCCCGTCCCCCCTTCTTCTCCTCTCCTGTGCTGTCACCCCCTGCAGCCCGAGGTGGTGGAGAAGGTGGTGAACCTGCGCGAGGGCATTCCCAAGAAGGCCGCCAAGGAGGTGCGTGCATCTGCTGGGCTTGATCGCACAGGTGACAGACGGCACACCATGCACACCATGCACACCATGCACACCATGCGCACCATGCACACCATGCACACCATGCACACCATGCGCACCATGCACACCATGCACACCATGCGCACCATGCACAACATGCACACCATGCGCACCATGCACAACATGCACACCATGCACACCATGCGCACCATGCGCACCATGCACACCATGCGCACCATGCGCACCATGCACACCATGCACACCATGCACACCATGCACACCATGCACTCCATGCACACCATGCGCACCATGCGCACCATGCACACCATGCACACCATGCACACCATGCACTCCTACTCTTCGCTTACTGCTTCCTTTCCATGCCTTCTCCATTGCTCTTTTGCCACTTTCAACCCCATTCCCTCCCTCCCCCTCCCCCTCCACACTCCTCTCCAAACCCCCTCCCCCCTGTCGTGTCCTCCATCTCATGCCATGCCATGTCTTGTCTGGTGCAAGAGTGCCCAGAGATGTGGGAGCAGCACACCGAAGCTTCCACACACTCACCCCCCCACCCCCCACCCCTCACTCCCTCTGTCCTGTCCTTCCTCTCATGCCATGCCATGCCATGCCCTGTCTCGCCATGCAGGTGGTGCAAGAGTGTCGGGAGATGTGGGAGCAGCACATCGAGTCCAATGGCACTCCTACTGCCGGACTGCTCTACAGCCGGCTCACCAACCTGCCCAGGAAGTAGCTCTAGCTCTGTCCATTCATTGGTGGAGGCTGTGGATGACATTCCGAGACTCACCTCACCAACCTGCCCAAAAATTAGCCCTCTGCTGCTGCTGAAGCCGCGGCTGTTGATTGATCATAGGAGCATTATGAGGATCATGACAGTCCTGCTGCCATGCTGGTACATGCTGCTGAATGTTGTGACCGGCAGTGCTTGATTAGAAATGTACTTGCACTCCAGAATTTTGCCGCGCATAGGTGGTGGTGGTGAGCTTCTGTGCACGTGAGGCTGCCCGCTGCTGCTGTTGTGCGGCTATCCCCCATAGATGTCAGCACAACCTTTTTTCTTGCCTTCGTATTCCAGTTTCTTCTTTCACAATGATGTGTGGACATATGTGAATGATGATTCAGACGGTACCATTGTAACTGGCCAGGCTGTGCTGTTGCAATGTCACCCTACAGCAGAGATAGGACAAACAGCATAACTTCAACCCCACTGTCCCGAACCATTCTTACAAACAGATTGAAAGGGACTCATACATGAAAAAGGAGGCAAAAAAGGTTCCAACAGTTACGAACAAACACATTAAATGTCGAAGTCATCGTCGCTGTCGAACTCTTCGGACTCCTCATCGTCACCATCCGTTCCCCACATGGCCTCTTCGCCTTCCTCCTCGTCCTCATCCCCGTAGTCGTTCAAAGGGTTGTTCTCCGCTGCACCATCAGAGAGCAAGAGGCAAAATGTATCGCAGGTAACTTTTGAGTTGACTCCAAAGTCAGCTCGTACGTCAGAGCAACAACACAAAACGACGGCAGAGCACAAGGGTACACAAAACGTCATGCTCCCGTGCAAGCAAGGACAGGAGAATGCTAGTGAAAGAGGACAGAGCACAAGCCAGGAGGCCGCAGTGATGGTGATTGAGAGCATAACGCAAAACAGTACAGAGCAGTACAGTACAGAGCAGTACAGTACAGAGCAGTACAGTACAGTACAGTGCAGTACAGTACAGAGCAGTACAGTACAGAGCAGTGCAGTACAGTACAGTGCAGTGCAGTACAGTACAGTACAGTACAGTACAGTACAGAGCAGTGCAGTACAGAGCAGTGCAGTACAGAGCAGTACAGTACAGAGCAGTGCAGTACAGAGCAGTACAGTACAGAGCAGTACAGTACAGAGCAGTACAGTACAGAGCAGTACAGTACAGTACAGTGCAGTACAGTACAGTGCAGTACAGTGCAGTACAGTACAGTACAGTGCAGTACAGTGCAGTACAGAGCAGTGCAGTACAGTGCAGTACAGTACAGAGCAGTACAGTACAGTGCAGTACAGTACAGAGCAGTACAGTACAGAGCAGTACAGTACAGAGCAGTACAGTACAGAGCAGTACAGTACAGTGCAGTACAGTACATAGCAGTACAGTACAGTGCAGTACAGTACAGAGCAGTACAGAGCAGTACAGTACAGTACATAGCAGTACAGTACAGTGCAGTGCAGTACAGTACATAGCAGTACAGTACAGTGCAGTACAGTACAGAGCAGTGCAGAGCAGTACAGTACAGAGCAGTACAGTACAGAGCAGTACAGTACAGTGCAGTACAGTACAGTGCAGTACAGTACAGAGCAGTACAGAGCAGTACAGTACAGTACATAGCAGTACAGTACAGTGCAGTACAGTACATAGCAGTACAGTACAGTGCAGTACAGTACAGAGCAGTACAGAGCAGTACAGTACAGAGCAGTACAGTACAGAGCAGTACAGTACAGTGCAGTACAGTACATAGCAGTACAGTACAGTGCAGTACAGTACAGAGCAGTACAGAGCAGTACAGTACAGTACATAGCAGTACAGTACAGAGCAGTACAGTACAGAGCAGTACAGTACAGAGCAGTACAGTACAGAGCAGTACAGTACAGTACAGTGCAGTACAGTACAGTGCAGTACAGTGCAGTACAGTACAGTACAGTGCAGTACAGTGCAGTACAGAGCAGTGCAGTACAGTGCAGTACAGTACAGAGCAGTACAGTACAGTGCAGTACAGTACAGAGCAGTACAGTACAGAGCAGTACAGTACAGAGCAGTACAGTACAGAGCAGTACAGTACAGTGCAGTACAGTACATAGCAGTACAGTACAGTGCAGTACAGTACAGAGCAGTACAGAGCAGTACAGTACAGAGCAGTACAGTACAGAGCAGTACAGTACAGTGCAGTACAGTACATAGCAGTACAGTACAGTGCAGTACAGTACAAAGCAGTACAGAGCAGTACAGTACAGTACATAGCAGTACAGTACAGTGCAGTACAGTACAGAGCAGTACAGAGCAGTACAGTACAGAGCAGTACAGTACAGAGCAGTACAGTACAGTGCAGTACAGTACATAGCAGTACAGTACAGTGCAGTACAGTACAGAGCAGTACAGAGCAGTACAGTACAGTACATAGCAGTACAGTACAGTGCAGTACAGTACATAGCAGTACAGTACAGTGCAGTACAGTACAGAGCAGTACAGAGCAGTACAGTACAGAGCAGTACAGTACAGAGCAGTACAGTACAGTGCAGTACAGTACATAGCAGTACAGTACAGTGCAGTACAGTACAGAGCAGTACAGAGCAGTACAGTACAGTACATAGCAGTACAGTACAGTGCAGTACAGTACATAGCAGTACAGTACAGTGCAGTACAGTACAGAGCAGTACAGAGCAGTACAGTACAGAGCAGTACAGTACAGAGCAGTACAGTACAGTGCAGTACAGTACATAGCAGTACAGTACAGTGCAGTACAGTACAGAGCAGTACAGAGCAGTACAGTACAGTACATAGCAGTACAGTACAGTGCAGTACAGTACATAGCAGTACAGTACAGTGCAGTACAGTACAGAGCAGTACAGAGCAGTACAGTACAGAGCAGTACAGTACAGAGCAGTACAGTACAGTGCAGTACAGTACATAGCAGTACAGTACAGTGCAGTACAGTACAGAGCAGTACAGAGCAGTACAGTACAGTACATAGCAGTACAGTACAGTGCAGTACAGTACAGAGCAGTACAGAGCAGTACAGTACAGTACATAGCAGTACAGTACAGTGCAGTACAGTACATAGCAGTACAGTACAGTGCAGTACAGTACAGAGCAGTACAGAGCAGTACAGTACAGAGCAGTACAGTACAGAGCAGTACAGTACAGTGCAGTACAGTACATAGCAGTACAGTACAGTGCAGTACAGTACAGAGCAGTACAGAGCAGTACAGTACAGTACATAGCAGTACAGTACAGTGCAGTACAGTACAGAGCAGTACAGAGCAGTACAGTACAGTACATAGCAGTACAGTACAGTGCAGTACAGTACATAGCAGTACAGTACAGTGCAGTACAGTACAGAGCAGTACAGAGCAGTACAGTACAGAGCAGTACAGTACAGAGCAGTACAGTACAGTGCAGTACAGTACATAGCAGTACAGTACAGTGCAGTACAGTACAGAGCAGTACAGAGCAGTACAGTACAGTACATAGCAGTACAGTACAGTGCAGTACAGTACAGAGCAGTACAGAGCAGTACAGTACAGAGCAGTACAGTACAGTGCAGTACAGAGCAGTACAGTACAGAGCAGTACAGTACCATTGGAGTCTTCACTGTCAGACTCTGAGAGAAGCACCCCGCCATTATCGAGAGTGATCGGCTCCCCACTGTCGTCAAACATGTGGTTGTCACATATGCGCAACCTGGCGCAGCAGTACAGGGGGGTAATAGTGGAGACAAGGGGGGGGGAGAGAGAGAGAGAACGAAAGTGAGAGACAGGGAGGGTGACAGGGAGAGAGGCAGAGCGAGAGAGAGAGGGAGAGATAAGGGAGGGAGGAAGGGAGAGCTAAGGGAGAGATAAGGGAGAGAGAAAGGGAGAGAGAAAGGGAGAGATAAGGGAGAGAGAAAGGGAGAGATAAGGGAGAGAGAAAGGGAGAGAGAAAGGGAGAGAGAAATGGAGAGATAAGGGAGAGAGAAAGGGAGAGATAAGGGAGAGAGAAAGGGAGATATAAGGGAGAGAGAAAGGGAGAGAGAAAGGGAGAGAGAAAGGGAGAGAGAAAGGGAGAGATAAAGGAGAGAGAAAGGGAGAGATAAGGGAGAGAGAAAGGGAGAGAGAAAGGGAGAGAGAAAGGGAGAGATAAGGGAGAGAGAAAGGGAGAGATAAGGGAGAGAGAAAGGGAGAGATAAGGGAGAGAGAAAGGGAGAGATAAGGGAGAGAGAAAGGGAGAGATAAGCTTGCACACCTTTTGAAACGTGGAGCCAAAGTAGACTCATCTGCCACCACCATGCCCACTCACGTTGGGTACGCAGCAGTGTGTTTGAGGTATGAGAAAAGCGGCCCTTCCACGTCATCATCGCCATCGGAGAGACACCCCTCCATGCAATACAGGTCGCACACATCATCCGAATCCGCGTCCTGCTGCTGCTGCTGCTGCTGCTGCTGCCGCTGCTGCTGCTGCTCTTCCTGCTGCTGTGACAGGAGACCTTCTTCTGAACCAGATTGACCTGAGTGAGGGGGTGGGGAATGAAGACAAAGGAGTTCTTCTAGTAATGTGCTTTGAGGTGTCCCCCCGGCACATCCATCCCATACACCACACCGCATACTACACACAAGGCCATCGCCACAGTCGCAAACCCCAAACACAACGGGGAGAAACTAAGCAAACCAAAGTAGACTCACTATGCAAACATAGGCCCAAGGAGGTGTCACCTCTGATGTCATCATCATCACCAGCAGCAGCAGCAGAAGCAGCGCCTCTGTGCTGCTGCTGCAGCTTATCCTCCATCTCTCGTGCTGCCTCTGGGAGGAACTCCCTCAGCAGCGGCAGGTAGTTGCACGCCAGCTGCCCCTCCCGTGCCTCGCGCTCCCTGCCAAGACGACATGAGAATCGACAAGAGCATCGACAAGAGCATCGACAAGAGCATCGACAAGAGCATCGACAAGAGCATCGACATGAGCATCGACAAGAGCATCGACATGAGCATCGACATGAGCATCGACATGAGCATCGACATGAGAAAGAGCATAAACAAGAGCATACGGCACATAAGAGAAGGAAGAACAGTACGAGGCTGCAAGAATTCTTTTTGCAGGAGTCCAAGAACAGTATGAGGCACCACAACCAGCAACCGGTACCAGTAACAGCAACCGCAACAGTTACGGTAACAGCAACCAGGCCAACAACCCACCTGAGGGCCTGCTCTCTCCGCCTGGCCTTTCTAGCAGCTTCCTCCTCTGCTGCCCGCACCTGCTCTGCATCCACCACATTGAACAGCCGCATCCACTCCCCCTCCTCCTCCTCCCCTTCTCCTCCCCCCTCCTCCTCCCCCTCTCCTCCCTCCTCCTCCTGCTCCCCTCCCTCAACTTCCGGCCGTTTTCTCCCCTCCACCAAAACAGCGCCTGCTTCTGCACCCTTCCCCTTCCCCAAGCTTGGCATGCTGGCTTCATTTCCTGCCCTGGTGTCCTCTTCCTTCCCTGCTCTCCTCCCTCCAGCGGCACAAGCAGGGGCACCAACTCTCTTCTGCTGCAGAAGAGCATGACGCTGCGCTCTTGAGACCTGGGGAAAGGGGGGGGGGGGGGAGAGAAGCGAGACGGGGGAGTGCAATGGAGCACCGCAAACTAGAAACCACGTGCTGTGCTCAACGCCACCACGCAGGGTTTCCCTCGAGAGACACCAACTTTAAGAAACACGGCTGTGCAAGGGAAAATGAAACCGCCTGCACCGTCCTTACCCCTCGCCCTTCCCCCCTCCCAGATACGCCAGCCCTCCCCCCTCCCCCCCCACTTCTCTCCCCCCTCCGCCGAAGGGACAGCCCGCACGGCCCGTACCTCTCTTGCTCTGCTGGCTGCCACTCGCAGGCGGGGGGCGCTGCTGCCCGCCACGCTGCGCCATTGCTCCTCCAACACGGGCGCGGAAGCAGACGCGGACGCGGACGCTGACGCGGACGAGGACGCGGACGTGAGCGACGACTTAGACTTCTCTGCGTGACCGTTCTCGGCTTCCCCCCTGCTTGCCACGTGCGCTCCCGCCACACGCCGCCGCCGCTGCTGCTGCTGCTGCTGCTGCTGCTCGTGCGGATGCGCCTGATGAGGCGCACTCTGCTGCTGCTGCTGCAGCAGCTGCAGCTTTAGTCGGCGGAGCGTTCTGTCGGCGGCCCCTGCGTGTCGGAGGCTCGCCCACGGCATGGAGTCCACGCGCCGAAACACCAGCCGCCGACCCGACGACCCGCCGCGGGGCGCTGCACGAGGTGCGGAGAGCGGGGAGAGGAAGAGAGACGGGTGAGTGAGCGGGGGGAGGTGTGGGCCGAAGGGAAGTGGGGGGGGGGGGATGGGGGGAGGGGAGGGGGAAGGACAGGGGAGGAAGAGAGGGCAGAGGGGGGGTGAGAAGGAGAGAGGTTGGTGGGGGGGGAAGGGAGAGAAGAGCTGGAGCGGCGCACCCGGAGCGGTTGAAGCGGACGCGTCTCCCCCTCGATCCTCCAGAGCCGTTGCCTCCTCGGCGACCGCTCCTCCCCTCTCCTCCCGTTTCCCCCGCTCCTCCCGCGCCGCCTGCGCCTTCCCTCCGCCACCGCCCAGGCTCAGCGCCTGGAGCGCCTCCACGTGGCTGCGCGCGAGCTTGGTCCTGCCGCCCCTGGGTGCCGCCTCCACCACGATCACGTCAGATGACGCCTCCCCGCGCTTCCGCTTCACCCGAATCAGCACCTGCCGACCTCGACTCGAGGTACTGCCGCCCTCCGCCCTCGCTTCCGGCCCCACCTCCACTTTCCCCTCCGCTTCCCCCTCCACTCGCCCCTCGGCGATCCCCTCCGCAATCCTCTCCGCTCCCCCCTCCGCTTCCCTCTCCGCTCCGCCGATCTGTGCGCGCTGCTCTCGGCCTGCTAAGGCGACCTCGCCGACTGCATGCGATGCGCTACTGTCCCTCGCGGGCCCTTCGGAAGAAACGGCGCCGCGCATCTCTTGGGATCCTGACCCCAAGCTCAAGCTCGGCTTGCTGCCTGTCCTAGCTGTTTGGTTCGGCGCGGGCGTTCCCGGTGCGAAGGCCAGCGATGCGGTGTTACTACTTCTGGCGAACCTGGTTATTTTCGTAACTTCGGGGTCCCGATGATCGCTCATGGGTAGAGCCGCAGACTGCCCGTTACCTTCGCTGCGCGTCACGATTGGAGGGATCGGGTTGTGGCAAATCGAAGAGGCCTCTGCGCCTGGGTAAGATGCAACTCGGTGTGGAGCTAGGGACTCGGAAGGACCAGGCATGACTGGCAGCAGGACGGGAAGACAAAGCGGAACTAGCTCAGCACAAACCTGAGCGAAATACGGATCGAGCAATCATAGGATGTGGAATGGGGACGGAGCCTATAATCGTAAGGGGGAGTGGATTCGCAGGTTCCGTGGATTCTCTCCGTGGCGGATTTTACAAGCACACTAGCCTCCCCGGTCGCATGGGTTTGGGTGTGGGGCACCAGATCAGATGGATTGCATTCTCCAGACCAACGAATCTTGAGGCAGACAAATGAGGCTTAGTGCGGGTCCAAATAGTACGTCCTATTACGGTGAAGTAGCTTTCGTTGCGTTTCAAAGCGTTCGAATAACAGACTAGAATGGTTGGGTATGGTATTTTGTAAAAAACCGGAACTTTTTGGACCCGCCCTTAAAGGAGCTACTCTCGGTACGGTGGGAATTCCCACCAGTGGGGAAAGTGTGAGAATGTGGAATGTTTTCCCCAGCAACGACTTCGTTGCCTTCAGCCGTACATCCCAAAAGGCGAGGAAACGCCCAACAATAAAATGATCACTAGTACATAAATATGTTAGCGATTTCCAGGTCCATGGTTCAATAATATTATAAATAATATACCCATATGTTTCAAACATATTCCATGCATATACCCATTCATGCATAAGACCAATAAAATAGCTGGAAGTTTCACCAATATGCGAAATTTTCGTTTTATTCATCATATCCCTCGATGTAAGAGCAAACAGAACACGTAGTACTTATAGCAATCCAACAAATTAGCTTGATCTTCTAAGCTGTTAGCATACCAAAATGTTACATGGGAAAAAACGCTGTAGTGCAAGGCTTTCACCCAACTTCGTCAAAGTTGTGTGTGCGCCATCTTGTAGCGCGTTCCATCAACCAACTGCAACGTGCCCCAGCTCGGGATGAACGAAGCTGTCGCCCAACTGGCCATACGGGGCAGAACCACCAATGGCCACGTTGTGTTACGCTGTCTATAGCGACATTCTTGCTGTCCTCGCCTGGCAGCAATCACCCCCCATTTTGGTCGTCAATCTTCAAGCAGTCGCTGCCGCCTTTTGGTTCTGGCGGAGCGCTGTGCGAAAAAATAGAGGTTGGTGGGTGCTTCGCGAGACGTGTTCCAGCTCAACCGAAATCGTGGTTCGTCGCGAACGTGGGGCGTTTGTGGTGATGATGTGTGGCGAGGAAATCTCCACAGGTTGTCGCCTTCTCGTCGCGCCGTCACCAGTTGATGAAAAGCGATGTGGGTTGGGTAACTTGGGTTCCTTCCGAAGCGCACATTGCACACCTGCTAGACTACAAATCGATCCCTGCGGCATCCCTGCTCCCAGAACCCACCGCAGCACAATTCGATCTCCAACACTTTTCCCTTCCTAACATTCCTCCCCAAAGTTTCACCACGCTCGACCAGGAAGCTAGTATAACTGCAGTACGCAGAAACATGGCACGCTCTAGCATCGCTCTAACTCTCTGTTTCCTCGCCATATTTTTCCTCTTCAACGCGCCTCGTTCTGCGGACGCGAGGCGCATTCGTCTAGCGGAGACACAGGAGACTCTAGAGGAGATCGCTATTCGCCTGAGAGCCGCGGCTGATCAGGCTGCTGCTGAGCTGGACGCAGCCGAGACAATCGCCGCCACTCGCGCCGCTGAAGAAGCAACTGCCTCCGCCAACGTGGCGGCGGCGGAGGCTGCGGCGGTGAAGGCGGCGGCGGACTGGCAGGCGACGAACGCGGCGGCAAGCGCGGCGAAGGCCACCGCGAAGCAGGCGCGGAAAAACGCGACGGACGCGAAGCAGGAAACCGCAGGGCTGAAGAAGAAGGCGGAAGCCGCTGATAAGTACCAGAAGGCACAGGAGAAGGCGCAAAAGGCGCTGGAGAAGTCCGCCCAGGCGAAGGCGAAGAAAGACAAGGCCGTGGCGGCGGCAGGCGCGCAGCAGAAGACCGCCGACGACGCGACCAAGGCCGCTACGGACGCCGCCAAGGGTAAGGGTAAGGGCAGCGGCGCGGCGAAGGCGGCAGAGGCGAAGGCGAAGGCGGAGCAGAAGAAGGCGGCGGAGTTGGCGAAGGGCGCGCAGAGCGCATCCGCGGAAGAATCCGCCGCCAACGCGGAGGCGACCAAGGCCGCGGCGGAGGCTGCGCGGACGCTCAAAGTGACCCTCACTCCGGAGGATCAGGCGCTGCTGGACAAAGCGGCTGCGGCGGAGGCGGCGGCGGCGAAGGCAGAGGCGGACGCCAAGGCGGCGGAAGACGCGGCGAAGGCGGCGGAGAAGGTGGCAAAAACCGCGGCGGTGAGGCTGACGAAGCTGAGGGCGGCGCTGAAGGCCGCGACGGCGCGCAGGGCGGAGGCGGACAGGATCGTCGCGGTTAAGGCCGCGGCTGCGGAGGCCGCGGAGGCTGCGGCGGAGGAGGCGGAGGCGGCGGCAAGCGGCGCCCCTGGGTCCGAAGGCGCGCCTGGGTCCGAAAGCGCGCCTGGCTCGGATGCCGCCCCTGGCTCCGAGACTGCTCCGTGAGCGCCGCTGGCATGAAGTTTTTATCTGATATGAGTCCTCGTTGTAACTTGTCTAAGCAAAAGTTCCGTTAGAGCAGTTAATTCTTTTGGTGGCATGTTCATAGCTCACAAGGGACTTCATCTGGTTTTCATTCCTTTATTCGTTTCATTCTGTACATTCTTTTGATAGTGAAATTGCGCACTCTTTTCAAGTACTCTTCGTGTCAAGTGTCAGGTGGCTTGCTTAGGGATAGTACTGGTACCATCCGGTCTAGGGCTACTCAGGGAGGGACGTGTCAGATGGGGCCTCTGTACATGAGGCTTTGTTAGTCGTCCCTTATGCTGTCATGGGTTTAATACGGCAGCGCCTCCGGCGGAGGACGTTGCTATGGTTGAGAATAGCAAGTAGGAGTTGTTCTCTGCTAGAAAGCATGAGTTTCCAAGCAGGAATTCACTAGAAATTGTGATACATTTCAAGTGCAACTCACCCCTATTTAAACAGACGAGAACAAACGAGCAAACAAGGTAGAAGCATTTCGCGCTTCGGTATTTGCTGCGGTCCGCGTTGAAGGAAGTTGACCTCAGCTTTGTAACCGAGTGGTGCACCGAAATTCGGTACTCTGTCGCTTGCTTGTCGAATGCGCACCGGTTGTAGTTGGATGGTTGGATAGGAGTGGCAAAATCTGATTGGTTCCACCTGTTTGGGACTAGGGGAGGTGCACCAAAGTTTCTTGGTGCTTCACCACTCTCTAGGGAGGTGTACCAAGGTCAACTCGCCCTTTGACCACCTCCAACCACTTTACTTGGTCCTGATTGGACCCCAATCTCAAAGGACCCCACAAATTTGTCACTCTAGGTTGGTGGTCAAGCACCACCCAATTTCGACCAATCTGATCGGTTGAAATTGCCTAGAGGCGAATTTCGCCCAACACCATTTTACTCCCACGAAATCCCACTGGACTCCCGCGATAACTCATGAGCACTCACGAGAACTCACCAAACTCTCCAAACTCTCGTGAGAACTCACTAAGCTCTCGTGAGAGCTCACTAAACTCTCGCTAAATAACCTCGCCTCACTGAATCTTCCGAAATCTCGCGAACTCTCGCGAACACTCACTGAAGTTCAAGCATATAACTCAATCACGCGAAATCCTCTCAAACACTCGCCAAATCTCACGAGTCAAATTTTCCGCCACAAACAAACCACTCTAACAACCTCCCCTGTGGTTTGTTTGATGGCGCTTCTCCTCCCACTTAAATACTTCCCTTGCCGCTCTCGTGCAACGCTGTAATATTTCTCATGCCCACAAGCTCCTTGCAATGCTCGAAGTTTTCTTTCGGCAAGACTTTGGTGAGGAAGTCCGCCGGTTGCTCCTTCGTCCCCACATGCTCAAAGACGAATGCCTTCTTTTGCAGTTGCTCCCGCACCCAATGGTACTTCACGTCCATGTGCTTGGTGCGCCCGTGCCAATTGTCGTTTTGGGCTAATGCAATGGCCGATTGGCTATCGCTTTTGATGGTGATCGGTCCCTCCATGTTGATATCCATCTCGTTGAGTAGACGCCGCAGCCACACTCCCTCTTGGCATGCATAGAACAATGCCATGTACTCGGCTTCGGCGCTTGAGAGTGCAATGTCATCAAGCTTCTTCGCTTGCCACATGATGGCCGTTCCACCAAGGAGGTAGACATAGCCGTATGCCCCCCTCCTCGTCTCCTTGTCCGATGCATGTGAGGCATCGGCATATCCCACAAGCTCAAGGCTCTCTTCTCCTCCTTCAAACAACAAGCCTTCATCCTCCCTTTCCACAAGGTAGGTGAGGGTCCTCTCCATCTCCTTCCACTTCCTCCCTTCGGGTTTGAGAACGTTTTGCCCCAAGAAACTTGCCGCATAGGAGATATCCACACGTGTGCACGACACGGGGTACATCACCGACCCCACCATGCATTGATAGGCCTTCAAGGCCTTCTCTTGGCTGCCCCATGCGTCCATCTCTTCTTCCACATCAACCTCTTTGCCCGCCAAGCTGCTGAGGGGTGTCACCATGAGTTTGGCTCCCAAATGGTCACCAAAACGCTCCTTCAACCGATGAGAGTACTTCTTTTGGTAGAGAAATAGCTTCCTCTCCTCTCGGCTCCGCTCCAAGTTCATTCCAAGGAAGAGGGATGCCCTTGGAATTCGCTTCACTTGGAAGACGCTTGCAAGATGTTTGCACACGCCTTCTACTTCTTCCTCAAGAGCTCCCGCCACGAGAATATCGTCCACATAGAGAAGGAGGAAGACCTTCTCTTTCCCTTCTCCCCTCCAATAGAAAGCTCGGTCACTTTGGCTTTTCTCAAAGCCACCCTTAATCAAATGCTCATCCATGGCTTTGTACCACTCACGTGGGCTTTGCTTAAGGCCATAAAGAGCTTTGATGAGCTTGCATTTGCGGTTGGTGCCGTCTTCACACCCGGGGGGCTGCTCCATGTAGATTTCCTCTTGCAACTCGCCGTAGAGGAAAGCATTCTTGATGTCGAGTTGCACCAAGTGGTAGTCCCGAGCGGCTACCACCTTGAGCAAAGTCCTTGCCGTTGTAAGCTTGCTCACGGGTGCGTATGTTTCAACATAATCCACTCCTTCCACTTGAGTGTAGCCCTTCGCAACGAGCCTTGCCTTGAAGCGCTGGAGTTGACCCAAGTCTCCCGTTTTGATCTTGAAGATCCACCTCACTCCAACCGGCCTCCTCCCTTCGGGAAGCTCCACAAGTACCCATGTCCCCCTTTCCGCCAAGGTATCTAGCTCCTCTTGAATGGCTTTCCTCCACTCCTTGTGATATGGCCCCGAAAGTGCTTCTTCAATGGTGACCGGTTCATCGGGTAGATTGTATTTTGCTCGTGTTGCCTTGGAAACTAATGCCGTTGCCGAGATGGTGAGGAGTAGGTGGGTATGGATGTCCTTGAAGCACGTCATGATGGCGTTGGCATATTGAGAGCCAACCACGTTTGGATTCGGCTTCTTGATGCGTCGTCCTCTCCCCATCCTCTCCTCCTCCGAGTCGGGTTCGGCATCCTTTGATGTTGACGTTGCCTCATTATCCATCTCCTCTTCTTCCTCTTGTCCAATTAAGATGGCTCCTTCCTTGAGAAACCCTTCAATCTCTTCCACCTCCTTCTCATTCTCCTTAGAGCCCATGTGCCTCCAAGGTCCACTTGATTCCGTGGTACTCTTAGCTCCCTCCATGGGCTCATGCTCCTCCTCGGCTTCCAAAACTTCCACCTCATTGCTTTCAGCTCCCACACCGTTGTCCTTGTCGTTGGGTGCCTCGGAAGTCTCCACACTCTCCTTGGGGTTCGGAGGTGAGGCGTTATGCTCCCATGCTCCGTGGAACACAACCTCCTCCAAATCGGATTCAGCTCCAAGTCCCTCCATTTCGGCTTCAAAGAGTGATGTCTCGTTGATTGGAGAAGTTGTATGCATGCGGTTCACCGTGTCGTCCTTCCTTCCTTTCTTCCAAGTCATGTAGTTGACTTCTTCATAGAAGACGCCATCACGTGTAGCCACCAACTTCCCCGTCTCCACATCACGCACAATCCATCCCTTGCTCACGGTAGATGGTCCCAAGTGAACGCCCCACTTGGTCCTCGAGAGAAGCTTGTGATCCGGTCCCGTCGGCTCACGGTATTGAACCATGCATCCCCACACCCTAAGGAACCCAAGGTTGGGCTTCCTTTTATAGAAGGCTTCATAGGGGGTGATGTCCGCCGCTAGTCCTTTAGTCGGCATACGGTTCTTGAGCCAACACGCCATCGCCACCGCATCTCCCCAATAGTCCAAGGTCAACCCACTCTCGGAAAGCATGCTCCTCATGCCCTCGAGTAGTGTGCGGTTGACCCGCTCCGCAATGCTATTGTGTTGGGGTGTGTAGGGAATGGTAAGTTGGCGTCGGATCCCTTTTTCACGAAGGAAGGCATCGAATGCCTTGTTGACGAACTCTCCGCCGTTGTCGGATCGAAGGACCTTGAGTAGCTTGCCACTTTGCCGCTCCGCTTCCGCTAACCATTCCTTGAAGCACTCAAGGACTTGAGTTTTGTCCTTGATCTCCGAGACCCAAGTGTTCCTCGTGCCTATGTCGGTGAAGGTCACGAAGTACTTGCTCCCATGCCGAGATGCAACCCTCATGGGTCCACACACATCCGCCGCTACAATCTCCATCGCCTCATATGGCTCCTCCTTAGTTCCATGTTTCGGATGAGGGGCCTTCTTGTTCTTCCCCTCCACACATGAGGTGCACGTTGACACGTCCACACCATTGTCTTCCTTTAGCTCGACTCCCGTGACCATCTCCTTTTTGAAGAGTTCTTTGATCCGAGAAGAGCTCGCATGCGCCATCCTTCGATGCATGATGTTGAGGTCGACCGACTTCGGTTTTGCCGCTACCATGAGTGCTTGTTGCTGCCACTCATGCCCATATGCTTCTTCCATCTTGGAAAGAAGCTCCTCCCTTGCTTTCTTTCCTTCTTCGGGCTCGTCGAGGTATGTAACCTTCGCATCCGGCATGGGTTTCTCCATCACCCGCATCTCATACAACCCTTGCTTGCGTTCTCCCTCGGCAAGCATCTTCCAATTGGATCCAAACACCCAAAGCTTCCCGTTGTCGCTGAAAGTCTTGCACCCACTCCCATCAAGTTGGGTTTGACTTATGAGGTTGAGGGAGAGCTTGTCAACGAAGAGTACGCTGTCCAATTTCAGCTCCCCAAATGGACTTTGTAGCACCATGTCGCCTTCCCCTTTCACCTCAAGTTGGCCATCATCACCAAGAAGTACGTGAGGCACGGTAGACATACGGAAGTTTTGTAGCCACGCCGCCCGGTTGGTCATGTGTTGCGTGCATCCGCTATCCATGAACCACGCCTTGCTTTGAAGTCCCTTGGCAAGGAGACACGCCGATGAGGCGCGGGCCACATTCGCCTTGTGTGCTCCGCCCATTATAGCGTCGTTCTCCTTTGCTTTCTCGGCTTCCATGGCGTTGGCCTTGGCGGGAGTTGACATCTTCTCTTGTGGCCATGCTCCCCTGAAATTCTTGCTATTCGGGTTAGAATAGCAATCCATTGCCTTGTGCCCGTACTTGTTGCAATGGTTGCAAGTGCCGGGGAAGGTTCCGCGTCCGCGTTGACCTTCTCCACTCGTTCCACCGCCATGTTGCACCCTCCTTCCCTTGAAGTTCGGACTTTTGGGGTTGGAGAAGCACTCGACCGCCTTGTGCCCTTTCTTCCCGCAATGGAAGCAAGCACCCATCGGTTTTCCGGCTCCAACGACATTGACAAGCGCCGGGTTTTCGTCGAGAAGCTCTTCCAAGAGCTTCTTTCGGTTCTTGGTGTTGGTGCGGATGAGCTCCAATGATTGAAGCGTTTCCGCCAACTCCGTCAATGTCTTCGGTCGGCTACACGAGACGTTGCCCTTGTGCGCCTCCCACTCGTCCGGTAGTCCGCCGATGACATAGCTTATCATTTGCTTCTCGGTCTCGGGTACGCCCATCGCCTTCAACTCGTCTCCATAGCTCTTGGCACGATTCACGTACTCCGCGATTGTTTCGTTGGGCTTCAAATGGAGTAAGATGAGTTTTTGGCGCACGTTTGCCATGTTCGCCTCGGTCTTGCCCATGTAGAGCGAGTCCATGTGATCCCACCCGAGTTGCGCGGCGTTGACCTCATCGACGAAGTCGTCCATCCCGATGGCGATTCCGTCCGCCACCGAGTTGCAAAGTTGGAAGAGAGCGTGCTTGCTCTTCTCCTTGTACGCCGCCTTCTCCTTATCCGAAGCCGTTTCGTCCGGTACTACGGCATGTTGGTCGTAGTACTTCCACAATCCAACCTCCTTGGCGCGCCGAATGAACTTGAGCCGCCACGTGCTATAGTTCATGCCAACAAAGCGTTGCGCCTCGGGGAGATTGATGGTCGGCTTGGGCACAACTTGTGCCTTGGCCAAGGCTTCTTGGCTCTTGGCTAGAGCCTCGAGAAGACTTTTCAGCTCCGACTTATCAATGCTCACGGTTGAGCTCGAACTCGCCTCATCCGTGCCATTCCCCATGACTAGACGTTGCTACGCCTCTCTACTCGTCTATCCTCAAGCCACGCTACGTGAGACTATAACGAACGTGATTATAACGAGGCTCTGATACCAGCTTTAATACGGCAGCGCCTCCGGCGGAGGACGTTGCTATGGTTGAGAATAGCAAGTAGGAGTTGTTCTCTGCTAGAAAGCATGAGTTTCCAAGCAGGAATTCACTAGAAATTGTGATACATTTCAAGTGCAACTCACCCCTATTTAAACAGACGAGAACAAACGAGCAAACAAGGTAGAAGCATTTCGCGCTTCGGTATTTGCTGCGGTCCGCGTTGAAGGAAGTTGACCTCAGCTTTGTAACCGAGTGGTGCACCGAAATTCGGTACTCTGTCGCTTGCTTGTCGAATGCGCACCGGTTGTAGTTGGATGGTTGGATAGGAGTGGCAAAATCTGATTGGTTCCACCTGTTTGGGACTAGGGGAGGTGCACCAAAGTTTCTTGGTGCTTCACCACTCTCTAGGGAGGTGTACCAAGGTCAACTCGCCCTTTGACCACCTCCAACCACTTTACTTGGTCCTGATTGGACCCCAATCTCAAAGGACCCCACAAATTTGTCACTCTAGGTTGGTGGTCAAGCACCACCCAATTTCGACCAATCTGATCGGTTGAAATTGCCTAGAGGCGAATTTCGCCCAACACCATTTTACTCCCACGAAATCCCACTGGACTCCCGCGATAACTCATGAGCACTCACGAGAACTCACCAAACTCTCCAAACTCTCGTGAGAACTCACTAAGCTCTCGTGAGAGCTCACTAAACTCTCGCTAAATAACCTCGCCTCACTGAATCTTCCGAAATCTCGCGAACTCTCGCGAACACTCACTGAAGTTCAAGCATATAACTCAATCACGCGAAATCCTCTCAAACACTCGCCAAATCTCACGAGTCAAATTTTCCGCCACAAACAAACCACTCTAACAATGGGCAGAGGGCACTAGCGCCTGCAGCACCTGCTTCAGGTTGCCCCTAGAGGGCATGGCTGCCGGAACATGCGAGCATAGGAACGCCAGGCACGTCATGACTCATGAGCCTGTTCTTGGTGAGAGGGAAGTGCTCTGCAGCGTAGGACTGGCTGCTGGGGGCTGCTGGTGCTTTTGCTGCAAGTGACGGATGGGATAGGTGCTGAGGCAGGGTCAACAGGAGAGCGCCACGGAAACACACACTCGAGTCCAAACCTGTAAAGAATCATGTCACGTGCCATCCCACGCCATGCATTTGATTTAGGCATTTATCGGAACTTCTATCATCCAATGGAAAGTTGAGACCTAAGGCTTTGTATGATCATTCGAAGGATGATAAGTGTGCGCCCCGCATCTTGTAGCGCGTTTCTTCAACCAATCAGCCCAACCTTACCCCAAGCCGCAAAAAATCGAGGGAATGACGCGATTCTTAAGAGTCGCGTTTTTAATTTCCTTTGTCACTGGCACTTACCTGAGCCCCGACGAGCGCGTTTCCGATTCCCGCTGTCAGTTTTGTTCCGCTACTGTTCTATGGGGTTTTTTTAGACACATCTGGGTCAGAGTCAATTTTCGACGTGTCGATAGCTGCATTTCTTGTCCTTTGGATAGGAACAAAATTGATTGGGATGCCAAATCTTGATGCTTCTTTTGACTCGTGCTAAATCCGCGCACGTTTGATTGCCACAAAACGTGGGATTTGTAAGCGGACAGTAGTTTCGGGCAGAGGGCAAAACAAATAAATCCATAGGAGCCTGCCGTGTCACTCGGGACGACATCAACCCTAAACTCGCGAGAGGGCCGCGAATTTAGGGTTGATGCCATCCCGAATTGCCTTTAGGGCCCCCTATGGGTTGTAGTTTTTCTTGCCAGCTAAACTGCCCGGATTGTGTCATTATTGGCGATTTCGTTTGATAGTGCTGAGATGCGTCCAAAACCCACAGCACGCGTGAACTGTGCATCTGCGGTCAGAACGTAATTGTTGTATACGAAGACATCGGGCAAGCCAAAATTATGGTACATGGTACAACCATCGTGAAAATCGTATCCTAAAACAACATGTGACATTGGAAATCAAAAAGCGGTCTGCGGTTTTCAGGTAACTGCCCGCGAGACTGGAAATTAAAAACGTAATTGTTTAGAAGCGCGTCATTCCCTCGAAAAGAGCTGTCGACCAACTGGCCGTGCGGAAAAGATCCCCCAACCCGCCAGTGGCCACGTTGTGTTACGCTGTCGACAGCGACATTCTTGCTGGCATCGCCTGTCCTCCACAATCGACCCGCGTTTTGGTTGTCCATCTTCAACGGGCAGCAGCCGCCTTCCTTCAGTTCTGCTGACGGAGAGCCGTGCGAAAACAAAAAAAGTTGGCTTGTGTTTCGCTGGACGCGTTCCAGCTAAATCGAATGCATGGTTATTCGCGAACGTGGGGTGTTTAGGTTGGCGAGACGAGGAGGCGATCTCCCCCAGCTGTCCCCTTCCCGACGCGCCGTCACCAGTTGATGACAAGATGTTGGTTTCGAAGCGCACATTGCGATTCTTCTCAAGTACAAATTCCTACCTACCCTTGCTGCCAGAACCAGAACCCACCCGCAACAAAGTTGGATCAGAATTTCTCCTCTCTCCACCATTCCTAATCTCAACCAAGTTCCACCACGCTCAATCACCGCTCGTACTACTACTCAGAACCATGGCACGCTCAAGAATCGCTCTAGCTCTTTCCGTCCTCGTCATTTTTTTCCTCTTCAATGCTCCTCGTGTTGCGGACGCGAGGCGCATTCGTCTAGCGGAGACACAGGAGACTCTAGAGGAGATCGCTATTCGCCTGAGAGCCGCGGCTGATCAGGCTGCTGCTGAGCTGGACGCAGCCGAGACAATCGCCGCCACTCGCGCCGCTGAAGAAGCAACTGCCGCCACCAACGTGGTGGCGGCGGAGGCTGCGGCGGTGAAGGCGGCGGCGGACTGGCAGGCGACGAACGCGGCGGCAAGCGCGGCGAAGGCCACCGCGAAGCAGGCGCGGAAAAACGCGACGGACGCGAAGCAGGAAACCGCAGGGCTGAAGAAGAAGGCGGAAGCCGCTGATAAGTACCAGAAGGCACAGGAGAAGGCGCAAAAGGCGCTGGAGAAGTCCGCCCAGGCGAAGGCGAAGAAAGACAAGGCCGTGGCGGCGGCAGGCGCGCAGCAGAAGACCGCCGACGACGCGACCAAGGCCGCTACGGACGCCGCCAAGGGTAAGGGTAAGGGCAGCGGCGCGGCGAAGGCGGCAGAGGCGAAGGCGAAGGCGGAGCAGAAGAAGGCGGCGGAGTTGGCGAAGGGCGCGCAGAGCGCATCCGCGGAAGAATCCGCCGCCAACGCGGAGGCGACCAAGGCCGCGGCGGAGGCTGCGCGGACGCTCAAAGTGACCCTCACTCCGGAGGATCAGGCGCTGCTGGACAAAGCGGCTGCGGCGGAGGCGGCGGCGGCGAAGGCAGAGGCGGACGCCAAGGCGGCGGAGGACGCGGCGAAGTCGGCGGAGAAGGTGGCAAAAACCGCGGCGGTGAGGCTGACGAAGCTGAGGGCGGCGCTGAAGGCCGCGACGGCGCGCAGGGCGGAGGCGGACAGGATCGTCGCGGTGAAGGCCGCGGCTGCGGAGGCCGCGGAGGCTGCAGCGGAGGAGGCGGAGGCGGCTGCTAGCAGCGCCCCAGGGTCGGAAGGCGCGCCTGGGTCTGAAAGCGCGCCTGGCTCGGACGCCGCCCCTGGCTCCGAGGCTGCCCCTTGAGAGCCGCTAGGATGAAAGGAAGACTTAGTCCTCATCATTTACTTAGATTGGTTGTCCGTGACCTGAGGCAAGGTTGCGTTAGAGCTGTCAATTCTCTAGGTGGGACGCTTCTAGCTTGGTGAGGACTTGCTCATTTGGTTTCATTCGTTTATTTGTTTCATTTTGTAAATTCAGTAGACATTGAAATTAACACTGTTTGTGATACTTAGTGTGTCATGTCAAGTGTCAGCCGGTCGGTTGCCAGTCCAAGCAAGGTATGCTCACAAAGGATTGTGGATAACTTGAGGACCATAACATCTGGGGCTCATGGAGCCACGTGTGACATGAGGCCTGTGTTAGTAGTCCCCTACACAGCCATGGGTTGAGGGCAATAGCGCCTGCAGCACCTGTTTCAGGTTGCCCCTGGAGGGCATGGCTGCCGGGACATGCGAGCATAGGAAGGCCAGACACGCTTTGAGCCCATCCTTGGTGAGCGGGAAGTGCGGAGAGGAAGCAGACTGGGCGCTGGGGGACACTGGTGCTGCTGGTGCTGCTGGTGCTGATGAGGGATGGGCGAGGGGCTGAGGCAGGGCCAACAGGAGAGCGGCACAGATACACACACTCAAGTCCACACCTGCACATGCCAAGTCATGCCATGCCATGCCATGCCATGCCATCCCACGCCCAAGGGACAGGCAGCGCAAGAGGCAACAACAGAAAGGCATACCGTCAGGGCAGATGAGCAGCAGGCGACCGTGGAGAGCCAGGTGCTTGCGTACTCTCAAGAACTGACTCAGCTGCAAAGCGCGTTCCGAGCCAAGCCATGAGAATAAATCGGCTCAGCTGATGCAAAAACTCCCCGCATGGATGCGCAAGCAGAGGGAAGGATTTACCATCGGGTCGGGGTGGATGAGCTGCAGGCAGTGGCGGAGAGCTTGAGTGGGTTCATTTTAAGAATTCTCAAAGATGACCCCCCCTCATGGATACACAAGCAGAGGGAGACCCCCCTCATGGATGCACAAGCAGAGGGAGACCCCCCTCATGGATGCACAAGCAGAGGGAGACCCCCCTCATGGATGCACAAGCAGAGGGAAGGCGTACCGTCAGGACAGATGAGCAGCAGGCGGTGGCGGAGAGCCAGGTGCTTGCGAGCAAAGGCCACAGCAGCTGGCACATGGCGGGCGATGCACAGGCGGTCGTACTTGGATGACTGCATTGGGGGGGGTGGGGTGGGGGGGGAGAGGGGGGAGAGGAGTAGGAAGAGGAGGTGGAAGATCAGGACAAAGGCAGGATGAAGGCAGGATGCAGGCAGGACAAGGGAGCAGAGACAGGTGTGGGGTGTTAAGGAGCGGCCAACAGCTGGGCATTGATGGATGTCTGCATGTGTGTCTTTTGAATTGGCTTAAAAGTCAGTGCATGCACGGGGTGCTGGAGGACAAAAGGCAGGAGGCAAGCCGGTCATGAGCAGGAGAGAATGGGTCGGATGATGGTGAAGCAGGGAGACAAAGCGGGGATGAGCAGGTGGGGATGAGCAGGTGGGGATGAGCAGGGTGGGGATGAGCAGGGTGGGGATGAGCAGGGTGGGGATGAGCAGGGTGGGGATGAGCAGGGTGGGGATGAGCAGGGTGGGGATGAGCAGGGTGGGGATGAGCAGGGTGGGGATGAGCAGGGTGGGGATGAGCAGGGTGGGGATGAGCAGGGTGGGGATGAGCAGGGTGGGGATGAGCAGGTGGGGATGAGCAGGGTGGGGATGAGCAGGGTGGGGATGAGCAGGGTGGGGATGAGCAGGGTGGGGATGAGCAGCGATTTTGGGAGCACGAGGATGGTGAGAGGAGGAAGCAAGGGGCGTATGTGCGTACGCGCACCTTAAGGGGAAAGTAAAGGTGCCATTGCTCCTCGTAGACACCTTCCCCACCCTGCTGCTGTTGCTGCTTCATTGCCAGCCCGTTGCCACCCTCCTTCCCACTCTCCCTGTCGTTCTCCTTCCCAATCTCTCCCCCACTCTCTGTGCCATGTTCCTGCGTCTGGCTGTCCAGCAGCGCCCGGAGCCCGTGAGGCAAGTCCACTCCACATGCAATCACCGCCAGAGGAAGGGGCATGGATGGGGTGACGTGCGCTGTGGAGAGATGGGTGGGAGGGGGAGAGGGGACAAAGAGTAGGGTTGGAGGGAGTTCGGAGGGAGGTAGGAGGGAGTTTGAAGGATGTTTGGAAGGAGGTTGGAGGAAGTATGGCGGAACAGAGAGGAAGCATTGGAAGGAAAGAACGGAGGGGAGGGAGGGAGTGCGAGGGTGTGCATGGAGTGGGGAATGAAGCAACGATGTGGCAGACGCGACACACAGTCAATGGGGGAGCAACGAGTCAGAAGGAAAATGAACGGAAACAGCAAGAGCAAGAGCAAGAGAGATGTGTTTGGCAATAGCAACCGCAGCAGCAGCAGCAGCAGCAAAAGAGAGTCAGCACGTTCATGCGACCACCACGTTCCCTTGGTGTCCAAAGTAGCTCACCTGCGGCAGCGGCAACAGCAACGGGCAGTTGCGCAATCCAGTGCACAGTAGCACCACTACAACCATCAGCAGCATGCTCACTGCTTCCTCTCTCTCCACGCCTCCCTTGCTCAGCACGGCTGCCCACCATACCCTGCTCCTTCTGCTTCTTCTCCTGCTGCTGCTGCTGCTGCTGCTGCTGGTTCTGCTGCTGGAGCTGCTGCTGCTGCTGTTCCTGTTGCTGTTGGTGGTGCTGCTCTTGGCGTTGCTGCTGCTGATCGATCCCTCTCACTCCCTTAACCACATCACCTGCCAAACCTTGAGTTCCCTCCAATACCAAACCCTCACCAGACAGATCTGCCACTTCCCTGCCAAGAATCATTCCCTTCTCCCTTGCCCCTCCGCATCTCTCTCCTCCCCTCTCCACCCCCCCCCTCTCCTTCCTTCCCCTCTCTCTCACTCTCACCTGAGGGGCGTGCTCCCCTCTCCTCTGCCTCCTCACTCTCTCTCTCTCCACCACTCCAGCCACAGCGGCGTTGCACCCTCTCCTCCCGGCCCCCAGCACCTCCCTCCAATTCCTCCAGAACAGCTGTGGAGTCAACCCCCTCGCCCAGCTCTCCTCGTCATCCCCCGCCCCCTGGATGTACGTCCATGGCTCATCTTGCCATGAGGTAGCAGCATCATCACCATCATCAGCATCATCATCATCACCATCACCATCACCATCACCCTCATTGTCACTGTCACTGCGCTCACCCTCATTCCCCTCTCCTTCTCCTCCCCCCCCCCTCTCCCCCTCCTTACTTCTCCTGTCCTGTGCTCCGATCTCGGCCCCCTTCTCCCTCTCCCCTCCCCATATTCTCCCCATCTCCCCCATCTCCGCGCCTATAAGCAGAGAGGGGCAGGGGGGGGGGCAGCCGGAGGGGGAGGGGGCGGAGGCGGAGACGAGGAGGAGCGGGGTGAAGGGGAGGGAGTCGGGAAGGGGCACCTCGTTGGTCCAGATGAGAGACACTTGAGATACCCACAGCACTCGCAGCGGCTTCTGCAGTCGACCACACCTGCTGGTGGTGCTGCTGGTGGTGCTGCTGGTGGTTCTGGTGGTGGTGGCGCTGCTGCTGCTGGTGCAGCTGTTGCTGTCTCTCCTGCTACCTTCCCATTCTCCTGCCCCTCCTGTTGCCTCTCGCCCTTCCCGAATCCCCTCCCCCTTCTCCCCCGCCTCCCCCTCAACCTCCCCGAACGCCAGGCGGTCAATGGCAGCAGGGGGCGCGACGAGCAGGAGCCGCTCCACCCACGCGTCTATCCGCTGCTCTATGCTCGCCTGCTCCGTGCTCGACACCCACCGCGGCAGGTGCAGTGCGTCGTCCCAGGGCGCATTCTCCCCGGGTACATTCTCCCCAGGTGCATTCTCCGCAGGTGCATTCTCCCCAGGTGCATTCTCCCCAGGTGAATTCTCCCAGGGCGCATTCTCCCAAGGCGATTGCTCCAGAGGAATATGACAACCCTCCCGGGCAGTCGCTTCCTGTGGCTGTGAGGTGACTCCGACTGCAGCATGCTTCTTCTGCTCTGGGCCCTTGCTGCGATCTAAGGCGTCCCCTTGCGCCCTGCCTTCCCCATGCGCCCTGCCTTCCCCACCCTCCCCATTCCCCCTCCCCTCATCCCTCTCTGCCTCCTCCCTCCTACTACACTCCCTGTTCTCCAGCTCATCCACTCCGCTCCCCCCCTCCCCTTGTTCCCCCCCCTCTCTCCCCCCCTCCCCTTGTTCCCCCCCTCTCTCCCCCCCTCCCCTTGTTCCCCCCCCTCTCTCCCCCCCTCCCCTTGTTCCCCCCCCTCTCTCCCCCTCTCTCGCCCCTCTCTCGTCCTCTGCACGGCGCGGTTCACGACGCACGCCCATATGGGGATGGTCTTGGACAGGCTGTCAGGAAAAACCTTCCCCCGCCGCGTCGCGTCCACTATCATTGCGCCGCCGCTGCGCGCTGCACGTGGGGGGGAAGCAGGGGAGAAAGAGAAGGGGGGAGATTTTGTGGAGAGTGCCGGTCGGGGAGATCGGGGGCGGAAAGGGAGGAAGGCTATTTTTGAGAAGTCTCAAAAATATCCTGCAAATGCTGGGACAGGGGAAGGGAGGGGGAACGGGGGTACGGGCTTTGTTGGTCTGGGTGGTAAGCGATAGGCGACAAGCCGACAATCTCGGGATTTAGACGTGTTACTGTGGAGAGAGGATTGGCGGGACGAGAGTCTAGACCTGCGATATTTGCCACGTGGAGGTTCATCCGCGTCACGCTGAAATCCCAGTTCCCCGTGTGCCCATCCGTCGACTTGAAGTAACACGTGGCAGCCACGTCATCAGGCGGCGCGTACCACAGCCCGCAGCGCAGGTTGGGAAGCAACGGTAACGTCGGCCAGAGGGAGTGGATCTCGCGAACGAACGACGCGTCTAGAAGGATCGAGCGCAGCGCGTTGTACACGGTGGACTCGGCGCGCTTTATATCGCGTACGACGTGGTACAAGTTGCTCGTGCTGCTGCTGCCGTTGTTGCGAAAGCCTTCGCTACCACTCGTCAGGCTCGTCCGCCCCATCCGCGGATGGCGGTAGTGGTCAACGCTTCCACTCAGTAAGGAAAATGTGATGTTGGTGGAAGTTGACTCAATAAAACGTGAGCAGTCTATAAACTGTACTCGTATCGCCTTCTCGACAATGTAGGGTGTTTCAATCGAGTGTTTAAATACAAATGTTGGAAAACGGAAGGCGGAGCTGCTTGTAGTGCGTTCGTTTACCCCCTGTTTCTGGCAAACCCCGGGCCAACAGACACCATGGCCTGGAGAAAGTCGAGCGTCCCCGTGATTGCGAAATAGCCCTTAGGATCCGAAACCTCTGCAGCAAACGCACTGGTTGACAAAGCCAGGAGCAGAGCAGGCCATTCCGTTGGCCCACGGCACAGCGCGACGCCGTGTCATAGCTGGCCCCGCCTCTCACCCCTTTCTCGCTCTCCAGCACGCACCGCAGCCACTGGGAGTTCCGCATCGCAGGTGCGAGAAGCGGCGGAGGTTCAGAGAGGCTTCTCCCTCTATTTCTGCCCGTCGCGTACTTACGGTCTGCTTTGCTCTCTACGGCAGCCGGAGAAGGAGAGGCGAATCTGTTCGCTCTCAACGACGGCGCGACGGCCATGGCCATGGCGTTACTGCCACGGGTGGGCGAGGAGACGATCGGCGAAGTGAACGGGATTCTGCGTAAGAGCTCGCCTAACGACTGGTTAGCGATTGGTTGATGGATCGACGGAAGTAGCCGCACTCTCGCTGCCTGGTTTTGACTCCGGTAGCGAGAGTGCGGAATCCGCTCTACGCATTTCACATCGGCATGTCGTAGACCATACCACACCACACCATCCCATCCCATGCCATGCCATCCCGTCCTATCTCTCGCGATCTTATCCCATCCCATCCCATCCCATCCCATGCCACCCCATCCCATCCCATGGTTGCGAACTTTCCCCCTTGCGCGAAATGGGAGCACGCAGTGACGTCAAGGAGGGACGTGGACGCCAGCACGCGAGACGCGTACACACATCTCATGGTGACCCCCCACGCCCCGCCCCGCCCCCCTCCCCCCCCCCCTCACTACCCTCCACATCTCACTCTCGCGTGCGCTCCTCCCCTCCAGTCCCCTTTTGATTCGACTCAAAAGCGCCGCCCATGCGTCCCAGCGCATCTAGCCTCGAGCAGTTTCCCTGGTCCTATGACTCTCTTCCCCCCCCCCCACCCTTCCTCTCTCCCTTTTTGAGGCGCCTCAAACATCTTCCCAGCGCGCCTAGCCTCGAACCGTCTGCCTGTTCCTATGACAGACTTTCCCCCGCACCCTTCCAGCCTCCCTTGCCTCTCCACCCTGTCAACCCCCCTTTTCCTCCCCACCCTTCCTTCCCTTCCCTCGCCTCCCTGCACCGCACAGCACCACGCAGTGCCGGACATTCCTCTGGCTGCAGTGAACCCAGTGGATCTTGCCTTCGAGTCAACCCCTCTCCTCATTCTCAACGGCCCCCTCTTCCCTGCTGCTGATGCTGCTGCTGCTGCTGCTGCTGCCACTAATTCCTCTGCCGCTGGATCTACCACCCCATCCCCCATTCCTCCTGCCACCCCTCCTCCTCCTGTTGCTTCGGCTGCTGCTGCGTCTGCGGGTTCCACTCCTGTGTCGCCTTCCACTCCCCTCACCCCCTCTACGCCTCCCTCAGCAGCCGCGGGGGGTGGGGATGGGGCAGGGGGAGGAGGTGCGCAGAAAGCAGCAACCCCCCATTCGCCTTCCGTGGTGGCGTCTGGAGGGAGATCGGGGGGGGAAGGGGGGGGAGGAAGAGGGAGTAGGGGGTCGCTGGGTGGAGCTGCAGCGGATGTGGTGCTGCGGCTGCAGCACATGGTGAGGTGCTGCTGCTTAATATGGCATGGCATGGCATGGCATGGTATGGCGTGGTGTGCTGCGGAGTTGAATGCCATGGCATGCTGTTGGCCTGACATCACGGCTCACTTCTCTTCGCTGCTCGGGCGGCAACACTCCCCTCATATCCTTGCATTGCAGGCAGCCTACTCTCAAACCTTCTCCCTCCCTACTTCACTCACATCAATCTTTTCCCATTGCTGCCTTCCGTTCCTTCCACCTTCAAGCCAGCCATTTCCTCGTCTCCGTTTCCCCCACCGGAACACTCTCTCCCAGTCCCCCCACCGGAACACTCTCCCCCAGTCCCCCCACCGGAACACGCTCCCCGCCCCCCCACTCCCTATCCCTCTGTGTCCCCTTCCCCGTCCTGTTCCCCTGTGCATGCAGCTGTTCTTGAGGCGCCTAAAAAATAGACTCCCCCAGTCCCCCCAATCTCTATCCCTCTGTGTTCCCTTCCACTTCCCTGTCCCCTGCCCCCGTGCCCACAGCTGCCAGCATTCCTTGCCTCCTCCCCCCCTCCCCCTCCCCCCTCTCGCCCGCTCATTGCCTGGCACCGCTTCTCGCCCCGCCTGCTCGCCTCGGGCCCTCTTGACCGCCTGCTGCTCTTCGACCTCCAGCCCTCCGCCCTGCAATCCGGTGCGTGCTCTCTGCTCTCTGCTCAGATGGCTGTAACCACATGCAAGGAACGTGAGACTAGCTGCCATGGTTTGTAGCTTTTCTCCCCCTTTCCCAGGTCAACCTTACGCCTTTACCCCCCCCCTGCAACCCCCCTCCCCGCTCCCCCCCCCCCCTCTTCCCGTCCCCCCTTCCTGCCCTTCTCCCCCCCTCTCCTCTCTCCTTCCCGCATTACAACCCAGGCCCCCCTCCCTCCCCTTCACCGCCTGCCATCCTGCTGCACGAGCTGCAGCGCCATGTGTCATGCGTTGATTGGCGGCCCAAGGCAGGAGCCACCCTTGCAGTGGCATGCAGGTGACGTTGGGGGGGGGAAGGCATGAGGGGAGATGCAAGGGGGGATGAGGGGAGATGCAGGGGAAGGGGCAAGAGAGATAGGGCATGGGATGGGATTGATGGGGGTGGATGACATGGGATGAAATACCTTTCTGCTGGTATGGCATGGCATCACATGGCATGGCATGCCATCTCTTTCATTTCCTATCCCACCCGTTCCCCCCCCCTCGCTTCCCCCCCGTCCCTCTTCCATCTATCAGGGCGGGCATTTGCCTCTGGAGCCTGACAGGGCCTCTGCTGGTGGAGGGGCCGTCTGGGGGAGGCTCAGCTCTGTCAGGAATCACAGGGGTCAGCATGGCAGCAGCAGAAGCAGGGGGGGGATGGGGAGGGCGAGGGGGATGGGGGAGTGGAGCAGGAGTGGGGATGGGAGGAGGGGCGGAGGGAGGGGGCGGCAGGGGGTGTGTAGTGCCAGCGTGCATGCAGTTTCTTGCCAGCTCGCCTCAGAGGCAGCAGGGGGCGGTTACTAGCGTGGCGTTCAGCCCCTGTGGCAGATATCCAGCTCTCATGCCTCACTCGTCTGGACCCTTTGCGCCCTTTTATGCTCCCTCAACAATCTTATGCTTCCTCTGACGCTTTTGTGCTCCCTTCCACACTTGTCCGCTCGCTCCCTTCTTCCCTCTTTCCCTCGGCCTGTCCTGCTTTTCAGTTTCTCCACTGTTGCTCTTCCTTCCTTCCTCCCTTACCCTTTCTCCCCCCCAGCCTCACACCCAAGTGTGCTTCCTTAACTCACCTTCCCTATCTTCACGCGCTACCTTCCCTGCTTCATGCTCTGCGCTCCTCTCTGCTACTCCCCACCTCCATTCATAATCGCTCTCTGGATGCCGCATCCGTCACGTTGCTAGCTTCAGCGTCACACGCGTCGTCAACTGTGCTCATATGGGACGTCGCCACAGGTACCTTTTACCATATGCCTCATGTGCCTTATCCTCAGGTACCTTTTACCATATGCCTCATGTGCCTTATCCTCAGGTACCTTTTACCATATGCCTCATGTGCCTTATCCTCAGGTACCTTTTACCATATGCCTCATGTGCCTTATCCTCAGGTACCTTTTACTATATGCCTCATGTGCCTTATCCTCAGGTACCTTTTACCATATGCCTCATGTGCCTTATCCTCAGGTACTTTTTACCATATGCCTCAAGTGCCTTATCCTCTGGTACATTATTCCTTCGTCAGGAGCCTTCTGCTGCGGGTGACTTTTGATTCAGGTGCCTTCTGCTGCAGGTATTTTCTCACTACTTCACCTGCGGTCTGCTTCAAGCACCCGCATTCTTCCGTTTCTCCGGGGTGGTACCTTCTTCCCCAATTTCTTCCCTTGGCAGTTTTCTCTCCTATTCCGTTCCCTCATCTTCTTAACTCCATCCTCACTCACTCCTCATTTCCTTTCACCCATTTGACCTCCCACCCACCCACCCACCCACCCACCCACACCAGGTGTGGCCACTCCCTTGCGGCGTGGCTTCGCAGGAGTGAAGATGCTGTGCTGGTCCCCTCGTGGCGACTGCCTCTTTTATTTGGACCGGACCCCCGCCCTCAATCAACGTTCTCTGTCCCTCTCCTTCCATCTGCGCCTCACACCCACCCACACCAGGCGTGGCCACTCCCTTGCGGCGTGGCTTCGCAGGAGTGAAGATGCTGCGCTGGTCCCCTCGTGGCGACTGCCTCTTCAGCTGCCTCTTGTGAGCGCCTACCCTCTCGCCTCGAGCCCACTCTGCTGCACTTCGTCGTTACACTGGTTCCTCCAGAACCCCTCGCTCCGTGCTGCCTCTCGAATCTCCTCCCGGATCCACGCTTCTCCTGCTTCTTTCTCCCACCGGCGACTTTTGAGTTGAGTCGACTCGAAAGTCACCTCGTAGTCGACTCTCAAAACTCTCTCTTTTCCACCCAAATCCACGTTTCTCCTGGTTCTTTCTCCCACTGGCCCGGCGCCTGTTTCTCTCTTTTGTGACACGTGCTCCTTTGCATGTTCCATCTCTCAAGTGGTCCGGCTCTCTCTCTCTCAAGCGGTCCGTTTATTGCTTGGAATCCTGAGTACAGGCTAGGTAGGTGGGGAGCGACAAGTCATGGTACGTGCATGTTGGGAGGCTCGGTCCTACTTGAGCTCCCCTAGGGGCTCGGCTATGGCAAAGCAGTCACCTGGCGCCATGTCGGCGTCAGGGGTGCCCACGGGGGTGTGGGGGGCAGGGGAGGCTTCATTTACTTTGCCCAGGTAAGCCAAGGCCTGTGCCCGCTGCAGCGTCACTGACCATCGTTGGCGAAACTGGTGGAGCAGTTTCGCTGCCTGGTAGGAACTGGGGTCCGCATTGAAGAGTCTCCTGGCCCCTGTGTCCGCAGGTGGGGACCTCGGCGCAGGGGCAGCCATAAGTCTCCACGGCCAGGGGGAAGAAACCGACATAAGGTGCGCGGTTACGGTAATGGTCAATCTTTTTGTCGGCTTGCTCCCGGGCCATATATCCCCGCCCCTTACGAGCGTGTGGGTCCCGGGTGCTGATGGGATCCGTGACAGTGACGTCACAAATCCAGACGGCACCCGAGTTCCTGTCGCGCATGGCTAGGTCTGCCTTATGACCGTCCACCGGACTGTAGATAGTGGTCTCCTTGGTGACGATGAACCCGGCATCCCGCGCCATACGGATGCATTCGTCGCGAAGTGCATTGTGGGTGTCTGTCCGGCCATGCCCCGTGCCGCAGCGGAAGAGGTGGTTGGGCAGCCGGGGGTCAAGTATCTCGGTCCCGTCGGCGCAGTTGCAAGTGCGTGGGGCCGGGAAAGGGAGGCCGAGACGGAAGGCGAGGGCGATGGCAAAGTGCGGAGGTTCGAGGCGGAGAGAAGGGAATATGGGGACGGCGTGGATCCAATCCCCTGCCCCGTAGCCCGCCAGAGAGAACAGGCGCTGTGTGTGGCCGGAAATGGGGTTCAGCTCCATCCCGCGGGACGCCGCCACTTGGTCCGCATATCGGGCGGCGTGGACTTCAAGGGAGAGTCGGTGCTGGAGTGGGGTTCCGGATGGCTCCTCGCGTTCGGAGCGCAGGAGCTCTAGTGCATGGGTCGGCATGGCCGCCTCACACCCTGCCAGCCAGGTATGGAGATGGTTGGGGCCAGAGAAGGGGGGGTTGAGGGGGCGCAGTGCGGACGCCAGGGGCCCTGCTGCTGCTGCTGGCAGGGCGGCGAGGAGGTGCTGCGCCTGGGTGACGCTGGTCAGGAAGGCTGCAGGGCCTTCAATGGCGGGGTCGGAGAGGCCTAGCCCTCCGAGCGATGGCGGAAGTGAGGCCTGGGCCCAGGTGCGCATTCGTTCGGCTTCCCCTCGAGGGAGTTGGAGTTTGCATGCGCCAAGGAGGGTGTGGAAAAGCCCCCGTCCCCACTCCGTCCACTCGGGTTGTGGGAGGAAATCCAGCGGCGTGGTGCGGGTCAGGTAGCTGACCCGCCGCGAGATGCAGCGCGTAAGGAGGAGAGAGGCCGTTTGGGGGTCCATGGTTGCGATGGTGGGGAGTGGCTCAGCCAGCGAGGCCAGTTGGGAACGGAGGAAAGCGGCTGAGCCCTCCGCTGTCCCGACAAAACTCCCCAGCACCCGCAGTCCCTCGCTGTGGAAAGGGACGCCCGGGGGAAGGGCATCGGGTGGGGGAGGAGTTGGGGACCACGCCCCGCATTTCGAGGGGTTGTGCGTAAGGCCAATGGCCCCCATGGCGCCCGTGAAGTGGTGGAAGGCCGCTGCGCAGGCGGCCGGTTCACCCACGAACGTCACGTCATCCGCGTAGGCTAGACAGAGGACATCGGGGTGGGCGGTGGCTGTCGATTGGAGCGCGGGGTGGATAGCTGCAGCGAAGAGCAAAGGGCCCATGGGGTCCCCTTGTCGGACGCCCCGTGCACTCCGGAGTGGAGGGCTGGCAAACCCGTTGTCGAGGTAGAGAAGCGATGGGGTGCCGTACGAAAAACGGATAAACGGTAACAGCGGACGCAGGGGCGAGGCGTCGATGGCGGTGATTATCGCCCCTCGCTCAACGCTGTTAAAAGCGTTTGCGAGGTCCACTTGGACAATGACGGAGCCGGGATGTACGGAGGTGAAAGCCCGAGTGGCGTGGATGACTACTTCTCCGCCGCTCCGAATTGCGACGCCGAACTGAAGGGGCAGAAAGTATTCTTGTGCGGGCTGAGTTGTCGAGATGAGGGCGGATTTGGCAGTAAGACGATGGAGACATTCACCTATGGCGATGGGGCGTGTTCCGCCATCAGGTTTGCGAAGGGCTAGCAGGCGTGATGCCGTTAACAGCGTGCTGACCTCCTGGGGCAGGTTACCAGCAAGGAGCAGCTGCACAATTTCGTGCAGGAGCTTGGCGACGTGCGGATTAGTGAGCGAGGCGTCTCTCAGGTGTTCGAAAGTCATTCCCGAAGGGCCGGCCCCCACCCCGTTTTCGCTTCGCGAAAGTAGGCGAGTGAAATCAGCGAAGTCCAGCGTCGGCCGGGTGACGTCGTCCAGTGAGGGCCACGCAAGGGCCTCTGTCAACGGTCGCGGGTGTTTGGACTTCAGCGAGTCAAGAACCTCCGGGGTTGACTCGCTGACTGGGGTTGACTGGAGTGCCTGTAGGGCGCGGCGAAGGCTGCCTCGTCGCACCAGCCCCTCGGCTCGGGAGATTTTCCCGAGGTCGTCACGAACATGGCGAGGGGGCGCAGGCAGTGTGACAGCCGCTACTGCTGACTGGTAGAGGGCATCCCACTGGCCTGCGAGGAACTGCCGCAGACGAAATTCCATCGCTGGCCAATCCGGGCGTTTGGGCGATGACATGCGAAGAGTTAGGCGGGGGAGAAAAAGTAACAACCGCCAGCCCCCGATTGAAGTTGGATTTTTCGTGAGGAAAAGGAGGGGCGTCAGCAGAGCCAGCGCGAACAGCTGGCGAATAGGGGGGGGTAATCGCCTTGAAAGAGGGGGTTGGCGGCTGTCGCACAGCACCGCGATGTCCCAGCTGGCCAGTTGGGCAAATCGTGAGGCATCGCGGGCCAGTTCCTCCGGGGATAGTTGCCTGGCTGCCTGGGAGGGACTGTCCAGCGGGCGGGCAGCTGGTGATCCCATATGTCCGTGGCCCCTGGATCTGGGTGAGGGGTTTCGAATCTCTCTCCCCACCCGCCTCGGTGCCCTTTCCCCTAGTGCGCTACTAGATTCGTCGGTGGTAGATTCACGTGCGGTTCGTGGATATAAGTAACGTCTCTTCTTTCTTCCTCATCAGTTGCCTCCCGTAGTCCCATCTCCCTTAAAGCCCGATTCGCTGCGCGCTGGAAGCCGTTCAGCGGGCCGCCGTCACGTGCCAAGTCGCCTGCCCATACGCGCTCGCTCCCGCGCCCGCCGCGACCTCGGCCCCTGGTTCCGCCCTCCCTGCCTCCGCCGCGTCCCCTCCGCGTGGCGCTGCCCCGTGGTGTGGAGCGTGGGGTAGGCGGACGATCACCCCGCTGCCTCGCGGTGCCCGCTCTGTGGCTCATCGGCGAGTCGGATGGCCGACCGGGCTGATCGTGCTCGAAGAGAGCGCTCCGTCGGTCGCGAGAGTTCGGGGGAAAACGTCCTCCCCCGAGGTCGGTCGAGCTCCCCTCCCATGTCGGACCGAAGGTGGGCGCGCGGGCTCCTAGTGCCGTCCACGAGCGCGCCGGCGTCCCCCAGTCGGGTGCGTGCGGCGACGCCGCCTCGGCTGGAAGGGCGGGCTGTGGTGGCGGGCGCAGGCGTCCGCCTGCATCCTCCTGCTGTATTGTCGACGCCTGCTGTATCGCGTGCGGCGGGCCCTCGCCCCCCCCCCTGTGCTGCCGTCTCGGCCCTTTCCGCAACAGCAGCGTGCACCAAACGGCCCCTCGGGGCGTGCTGGCACGCGTCGGGGGCGGAGGGGGAGCGCACTGGAGAGGCGGCTGGCGCGGACTGCCGCAACGCTGGAGGGGATACTCGAGCGGGCCGGCGCTGGGCTGCTCCCATCGCCGCTGCAGCGGGAGCCCCCCCATCAGGCCCCCCATCACACGCAGCCTCCATTTCCTCCTCGAGTCCTTCCACCGTCCCTCCCCGACCATCCTGCTCACTTGAGCGTCTCGCCCTCAGCTGCGCCTGCGCCACCCGTCCCGCGATGGCGCAGGTGGGAGCGTCGGCCTGCAAGTCCCGCCGCCCCGCGGCTCCGCTCCCATCTGCGCCGGCCCCTCCGCGACAGCATTTGCCGCCTGCAGACCCGTATATTCTCCTGCACCCCGCCGCGCACCCGCCGCCCTCGCACGCTCCGGTCCTGTCCCCCCCCTGGGTACTACGACCTGCACCATCGGTCCCAGCCAGCGCCCCAGATAGGCGGCCCCGCGTCATCCGTCGATACTCTCCCTGAGTGGCATCCCCCCTCGTCCTGGGCTGGGGCGGCGGAGTGGGCTGGTCCCCAGGTGGGGCTCTACCACGGAGGGGGTGTGGTCGGTCCGTTTGTTCCCCCTCGGCGGCGGGCGCCATCCCCACGGGGTGTAGAGGCGGGGGCAGAAGCAGCGGAGACGGGGGGCGCAGAGTCACCAAGGGAGGGGTCTCCCCGTCGTGCTCGTGGGGCCGGGGTGGCGACGCGAAGGAGCCCGCCGACGGAGGGGCCGCCGGCAGCAGCTCCTGCGGAGATACCGGTCCCAGCCGCCACACTTCGTCGCCTTGGGCACGCTCGGAGGGGGACCGAGATACTGATGACGATTCTGGCGGCGGCGAGCTCCGCGCTGGGGAGCTCAGGGGGCCGGTCAATGGCCCCGTACTTCCCCCTTCAGGGCTGCATGGAAGCAGCCATAGATCTCGCTGTGGAGGCCGCACGCGCGCGGCCCGGGCCCGCCCGGGGAACAGGCACGGACCCTCACCTTCTCGCCGCTCTCCGCCAGGTGTCGGCGAGCTTAGACTCGGCGTCAGCTGCAGGGCTTGTAGCTGGCGCCGTGTCCACGCTGCAGGTCCTGTTGTCATACCAGGCCGCGTTGCTGGAGGAGGCCGGGCTGGCGGCCGTCGCGGAATAGCGGAGCGGCGGGAGTAGGTGCGGCCGGGCGGTGAGTCCTGCAGTCTGAGCGCCCCCGCACGGCGCATCAGGTGCTCCATGTGGGCTTGTGTGTGCTACGGTGGGGCCCGGTAGGCCAATGTCGTATACGCCCGTCAGGTCCTAGTCTAGAGATGGGGGGCGCCATCATGCCTGCCTTGTACTTGCTGCGATATAGTTGAATGCTGGACTTGCCACCCCTCCCTGCGCGGCCGAAGGCCGCGCTGCGAGCGTCGGCGGCCGAAGGCCGCCGACGCGAGCCGCCACCAAGGGTAGGAGAAAGAAGAACTGAAAACTAAACGAGGGAAATGAGGCAGGGAAGGGCCTTAAATAGAGAGGAAGGGACTTAGGCTCTCTCTCTCTCTCTCCTCTCTCTTCTCTTCTCTCTCTCTCCTCTCTCTCTCTCTCTCTCTCTCTCTCTCTCTCTCTCTCCTCTCTCTCTCTCTCCTCTCTCTCTCTCCTCTCTCTCTCTCCTCCTCTCTCTCTCTCTCTCTCCTCTCTCTCTCTCTCTCTCTCTCTCTCTCTCTCCTCTCTCTCTCTCTCTCCTCTCCTCTCTCTCTCTCTCTCTCTCTCCTCTCCTCTCTCTCTCTCTCTCTCTCTCTCTCTCTCCTCCTCTCTCTCTCTCTCTCCTCTCTCTCTCTCTCTCTCCTCTCTCTCTCTCTCTCTCTCTCTCTCTCTCTCCTCTTCCTCTCTCTCTCTCTCTCTCTCTCTCTCTCTCTCCTCTCTCTCTCTCTCTCCTCTCTCCTCTTCTCTCTCCCTCTCTCTCTCTCTCTCTCTCCTTCTCCTCTCTCTCCTCTCTCTCTCTCCTCTTCCTTCCTCCTCTCTCTCTCTCTCTCTCTC